TTAGAGGTGAAGAGTGAAGCTGTCTACACATGACTACAGTAGTTCTTCTGTGTTCTGCTGTGAAAAGTACAGTTTCACATTCAGGGATATACACAGTTGACACATTTTAATGAAGTGTTTGTGTGAAGAATATAGTTTTTATCTTCTCATGTGGATAAATGTAAAAATGTGTTTATTGCCTTTTTGTCACCTGTGATATCTTATTTTCTCTGTTTAGGACTTCAGGTGTCCAGGGTCAGGAGAGGCTTTACCTGGTGGTCCTCCTGGGAGAGAGGCCTTCTACTGTTATCATGTTAATGTTATTTAGTTGATTGATATTTGAACACATTTATTAACAAATACTAACTGATAACTCATTTGATCATTCATTTTATCAGTTTTATTATTTAAAGATGTTTTTGAACATGTTACATGAACAGAAAATGAAAATATGGTTAGGAGGCAAGATTATTTATAATAGGTGACAATTATTTACAGATCAAAACAAATATGGAACAGTTTATGTACGGTTAAAGCTGAATTAATTTGAGTTACTCTTTTCCTGGATCACTTATTTAAACTGAGTGAGCAGGAAGTCTTTAACAGTGCAGCTGGATCTGCTGCAGGAGGATCCAGACGTGGATGGAGAGCTAGACATTTCTGGTCAGAGGAACATCATACAGGACGGTCTGCAGAGAGAGTTTTGGGATGCTTCCTCTCACTGTCCACTCCATCATCCATCTACAGGGACTGCTGGGCTGTTACATCTCTAAGATGTATTCAGAAATATGAAATGAGGAGATGGTTTATGGATCCACTGGTATAACAATTGTGACTCTTCAGCAAATAAAACCACAGTGTTGTTTTCAATAGAGGTTCCTACGTAAATGACTTGTCTGTTAACAGCAGTGGTGGTCTACTGGTGCGTCCTCCAGGACAGAGCACCGCTGACCGCCTCGACACACATCTTCCTCAGGCTCATCCTCCAGTGTGTTTGTCCAGGCCCACAACTTCACCAGCACAGAGGCAGATATGCGGAATAGGGCCTGCTCACTTGCAATATATATTTTTTAATTGACAAATGTAAAACAAACATACAACCTGCAGTACACTGGTTCTGTTCAGTTTAAAGAAAACCAGCAGGAAAAACGACAGAGAATTTACATTTTTAAGACAGATCTAAACATTATTAGGCTTAAGTTGAATAAAAAATGCACATTGAAAACACTTAAATGCTATTTTATATTAAAAAGCCTGTTTTTTTTAAACGTTTTACCCCCATTTGATGAAAAATAAGTAGTTCTAAGGTCCAATTAACATTAGAGAATATCCTACTGCATTCAACATTTATAAAGCATTTGGTTTAAATTAATTACCTACATGTTAATAATCTGTAGTAATGTGTTGTGTATGTTTAACCAGTTAATTCTGTAGCTTAAAACATACATGAAACCAGGGACGAAATTTTGATTTCAGAAGTGGGGGGGGACACAGCAGGCTTGTGCGGATTTGGGGTGGGGGGTGTTATGTAAAGACCCCTTGACACGTCACGTGCCCATCTCAATAATTTTTCCATCCTCAATATATATATATCAAAGTTAAAAAATGTACAACTCTATTATTATTTTTATTTATTATCATTATTGAAGTGCAGTTTTGGCTGTTGACAATGGATAGGCCATTGTATTTATTGTTTTTGGGTCTTTTTTGTTTTTGGTGCAACATTTTCTAACAGGGAGTGAGATTCCTTTTTTATTAAATTTTTGTTTGTTATTTTTATTCATTTAGAAGTTCTGGTTCTGGACATTTCAATGTTAAATGAAGGTTTATTTGTTGCATTTTAAAGGGTGTACTTGCATTATTATGATATATTAACATTATATTAGTGGTTATTTTGGTCTAGATAATGTTGACAATGATATCGTTTATCATCAACAATTTGTTGGACAAAATATCGTCCAGCAAAATTTGTTACATTCCCAGGCCTAGTCAAAAGTATAAAAATTATTTATACATAAACGGTCCCTCCTGAGATCTGGCCGTTTGTTCATTTGCTGTGTTAGAGGACATGCTGAACTAATGTTTTACACATGATCATCACCCTAACATTTGAGTGTATAAAAACATATTAAATATGTTTTTTCCCTTATAAGTGTTTAAACAGTTGTTGCATTTCAACACACAAAAAATAAATGGAAAAAATAAGATAAATCTAATGAAAAGTGTACATCTTTGACATTAAGCTTAAAAAAATCTGTTGACGATGATGATACTGTTCATTTTTCAGAGCTTTTTAATGTGAACATATACATTGCAATAGATAAGTTTACAATAAAGTTAAATGATAAAAGTTTTGAAGTTACACTTCTACTACTACTACTACTAGTAATAATAATTATGATGATAATAGTAATAATAAAACAATAATTATTATAATAATATGAATAAATTGTGTCTGAGGAGTCAGTTATGTGGAGGAGATGAGTTTGTAAAAGTTAGTTTTGAGTATGTTTGTGAAGGAGGAGGTGAGTCTGAGCTTAATGCAGGGGTGTCACATGTTCCAACTTACGTTTTGACTTAGAAAGAAGTCTCTTATATCCACTTTTCATTTTCTTGACATGCTGCCTCCTGGCTGTGCCTAACTACCAAAGACTCACAAATGAACACTTATTCAAATGTTATGTAATGGAAGCTGAGCTGAGCTCTGATATTACACAGCGTCTAGTTGACGATGTGACTCAGTACCGGTGTTCCCTAGCGGCTCCAAACTAGCAAAACAACGTGAGCACGTTCTGACTGTTTACAACTTGAGTGACAGCAGCAACAGCCAATAATACGTTAGCAAGTATCAGCAGAGCCAATAGATTAGCTTTTGGGCGGGTCTAATAGGAAACCGGTTTCCGTGTCGGTCCTAGTGCTCAACCAAATCCATTTAATGGAGCGTAATATTGTTTTTGGACGGAAAAAAGTGCAGGGGACCAAAACTGCCTTTTGAAAAAGTGGGGGGGGGGGGGGGGACATGTCCCACCCGTCCCCCCCCCCAAAATTACGTCCCAGCATGAAACGATCTAAAGTTAACGTATAAGTCCTGAAAGCTTGTAGAATAAACTAAATTACTTGAAAACGGTTGTGAACAAACACTTATGATGGACGTGAAGCTGCTGTAGCTCGATTTCCTGTTCGATTTTTGCTAGCTTTAGTATTTTTCTTTGCGTGTAGCTGCCGCCACGCCTGTGATGGGGCCTACGGGCCACCGTAGAGGTGAAGGCTAGACTGTCCAAATTCAGAGCCGCTGGGTTCCGGTTTTAGCGGTCGAGCAAGGACCCGGCCTTGCTAGACCGGTGATGACCTGTTCTCACAAGCATCCTGCTCCTGGATTCGGACACACCCAGTGTCTTTACTCAGCTTCAGCACTTCCTTGTCTGAGTCTGACCCAAGTTAGTAAATTTAAATCCTCCATCAGATTTGTGCCTGTTCTGGTGTCATTTATAAGGATTTTTATTGATATATGCATTTACTAGATTATGAATAATAGAAATGCTCATACAAACACCCAATTATACATAAAAGTGAAACTGAAAAAAATTGCAGTATGGTGCAAAGTCCATTTATTTCAATGATTCAACTAGACCGAGAGACCATTTAAAGGCTCGGGAACCCTTTGCAGGTGTTTTCTATTTGCAGTTATGAATTTTAGTTGATTGGGGGTTTGTTTCATGTAACACAGTGACATTTGAATAATTAAAAAGCATTGTTTAATTTTATTTATTTATTTTTCAGAAATGAGGGGCTTGAGTTTACAAAAATAATTTCCATGTCTAAAGTTTGATTCTCTGCCTCATTATTTTTAATAGAAAAATAGTTTGGTGGCAAATTTTCATGAACAATTAAAATGCAATTAGTTAAGATTAATTAATTACAAAGCCTCTAATTAATTAGATTAATTTTTTAAATCAAGTCCCACTCCTAGTGTTTACCCTTTCATACATAATGGTGGACAGTGACTCAAAATGTTTGTTTTTTTGCTATTAAGCAAAGCTGTTGAAGCTTTTGTTGCATTTAAGCCTCTCCGTTGGACGGTAGTGAGTCAAGCGAGCATGTTTCATTTTCAGTACTTGTGCTGTCCACTGAAGTGGACATGTATTCTCTGAAGATTAAATACAATTTATATAATAAATAAATAAAATCAGTTGAAATTTGTTTCAACCTAAAGATTAATAAAATTATTAGCAAAACATAATCCATGCAAGAAAGGGATAGCATAAAAAAGGTAAATCTCATACAAGAGCAAAGGTTCCATAAGTAAAGTGCTGCAATGTTCCCAAAAGTAAAATCCATCTATCCATCAATCCATTTTCACCCATTTATTATATGAGGTCGGGTTGCGTGGCTCGCAGCTCTTCCGGGGGAATCCCAAGGTGTTCCCTAGCCAGCCAACAAAGTCCCTCCAGCGTGTCCTGGGTCTTCTTTTAGATCTCCTCCTGGTTTGATGTGCCCGGAAAACCTCACCAGGGAGGCATCATAATCAGATGCCCGAGCCACCTCAACTGGCTCCTCTCGACGTGGAGGAGCAGAGGGTCTACTCTGAGCCCCTTATCTCTAAGGGAAAGCCCAGACACCCTGCAGAGAACACTCACTTCCTTCTTTCGGTCACTACCCAAAGCTCGTGATCATCGATGAGAGTAGGAACACGACAGACCGGTACAACACCCGCATCACTGCAGATGCAGCAACAATCCACCTATCAATCTCATGCTCCAGCTTTCCCTCACTCGTGAACAAGATCCCGAGATACTTAAAATCCTCCACTTGGGGCAGGACCTCGTCCCTGACCTGGAAAAGGCATTCTACACTTTTCTGGTCTGGATTAAGAGGAGCCCATTCTCATCCCAAAGTAAAATGTCTAGAAATGTATATAATGCTTCACAATATGTAGGTGGGGTCGACCTCCTTTTAGAGCTCCATGCTGTACTTTCCCTCTTGACATATTTAGTATTTAATATATTTTCTTTTTATTGCAGAATTTTCAGCTTTTCTCCTGGTGTGTCGGCCTCACCTGTCCTTGTCCTGCTGGGATTGATGCTGTTGGTTCCTTGAAGGACACCTTCCATCCACATCAACTGTATTTATTTTTTCAATCAGCACCAGAAAGTCTCAGTATTTATCTAATGCAATGAATTTATTATTGATAGGAAATGTTACAGTTATATTTTGTTCTGGAACATTTTTATTTATTTAAAAATCTTTTCTCAGCTTAATCATTAAAAGTGGCTTTGATTAAATGATATTGTAGCACAATGTTGTTCATAGCTCGCCTCACACGGCAGGATAATTTTGACATGCCCCGCCCCCTCTGACAGTCTTAATGATGCAGACGATTACTGTCAAGACTCTAAAGATAATCTTTTCAGATAATCCTACCTTGTGTGTGTCACGAGTAGGGCAGGAGGATGTTTAGGACCCAAGATGCAGGAAACCAGATGAACGAGGCAGGAGGTAGATGATGAAAATAAATCCTTTATTTAGGAGTAATCCAAAGGCATGGAGCCAAAAACCAAAACTCCAAATGACTAAACCAGAGATCCAAAAACACTAGAAGCTAGAGAGCCAAAATGAGAACGAGACTGACAAAAAACAATGAACCGACAAATTACTGAGACACAGACAGGGTTATATACACTGGGGAGGATGAGAGGGAGATGGGCTGCTGGTGTGTGGGGAGAGAGAGACCAGGTGAACCTAATAACCAATCAGGGAGGAAACTAACATGAACTAAGAGTAAAACCTAAAGACAAAAAGAGCAGGAAACATAACTAATATTCTAAGAGGGAGCTGAAACTAAAGGAAAAACACTACAGAAAGAAAACTACATGGGCTTGACTAAAGGGGCAACAGGAGCACAGGACCTGGGAGGGGGATACCTGGGGAGAGAAACCTTGAGGGCTGAAGATCTGGGGAAAAATGGAGAACACCAGGATACACATGAGGAAGACGCAGACGAGGACACGTGAGGGCGCTAGGAGACACAAAAGGGGAACCTAGAGAGGGATGGAGAACACAAGGAGACACGTGAGGGGAGACGCAGACCATGACAGTGTGTTGTGAATGCTCTGGTACAATTAGAAGTACGTCAGGACCACTTTGATTTTAAATTAGGGCTTTCAACTGTCCCTCTTAGTCTGATATTTGGGGACAAATTAACGTGCTGCCTGTTGAAAGTGACATTTAGCTAATCAGAAAGCAAGGTGACAGAAGCATGCTGCATGCTCCTCCTCCTCCGTGTTTGTTTGCTTCCAAGTCACGTTTTATCTCTCGAGATTACCCATCTGAACGGTGAATGAAAGTGAAAAAAACTGACATATCCTTGATTTTTTTTAATCGACTACTATTTAAAATCCCTGCCGTGTGAATCAGGCTATATCAGCTTTTCATAGTCTTTCAGTTTCTTGTAAATCTTTTTTCTTTGTGATCTTTCCTGATATATTTAACCATGGACATTGGTTATGTTATAATTAAAGAAAATTAATAAAACCAAATATGACTAGATCTCTTTTCAGCTAACAGAAATGGTCCTCCAAAGCTTTGTACAACACTCAGTCATTCATCCATTCACACACTGATGTAGAAGAAGAAGAAAGTATAATTTCTGTAGCGACTCTTAAGATATAAATCACGAGGCACTTCACAAAACAAAAAAATGTAAATTATAAAAAGAATTTAGAAAATGATAAAAAATATATTTAAAATGAGCAAAAAATAGACAATTGTGATTTAAAAATGTAAAGAAAGAGAGGGAGTGAAAAGGAAAGAGGGAAATCAGTGGATCCTGAGAAAGGTGGAGTAGGTAGGGAGAGCAGAACAAGGAGATGTTGGTGATGAAGGTCACACAAAAGCCAGCCTGAACAAGTGAGTCTTCAGCTGCTTTTTAAAGGAGACCACTGAGTCCACTGATCTCAGGCTCAGGGGGAGAGAGTTCCAGAGTCTGGGGACCACAGCAGCAAATTATCTGTCACCTTTGACCTTTAGCCTGGTGCTGCACAACCAGTAGGCTTTGATCACTGGACCTCAGGGACCTGCTGGGGGTGTAGGGACTAAGAAGATCACCAATGTAAGATGGTGCTTGTCCATGTAAGGCCCGATAGACAAGAACCAGGATCTTGAAATGAACCCTGAAGTTGACTGGCAGCCAGTGAAGCTGGAGGAGAAGCGGGGTGATGTGGGTGTGTTTGGAGGACTGGGTCAGAAGCCGAGCACAGGCATTCTGAACCACCTGTAGACGGTTCAGGGAGGTTCTGCTCAGACACGTGAAAAGAGAGTTACAGTAGTCTAAGCGTGAGGAGAAACAGCCACAGGCTAGCTGCCCATTCACAGGAGCCACCTGTCCTTCCAACCACCACCACAGCAAAGGGTCTTGTCCAAGGGCATGGATAAGGCAGACAGGGTGGTAGTCTGGCCTGGTTTGTCCTTCCTTTCGGTCAGGACCCCCCCCCCCCCCACACACACACACACACACACACACACTTTAGGGCTATGGGTTCATTGTGAAGTTCTGGAAATTCTCATTTGTTTTCCACGTATAATGCTTAACTCGTGTCTGGGCTGCTCTAGTTCTGTCCAGACAAGGTTGCCGCAGGTCTTGACCTTAAACGTAGTTCAAGTCCCTCAGTAATCACATCACAGCCACTAAAACCAGCAAGGATGCGTCCTGTCGTCCATGTTTATCCAGATAAGTAGCCCAAGAAAAGACATAAATCTTGCAATGGTTCACGTATTTTCAGACTTTTACATTTATTAACATGAATGATATTTGTTAAAATGTTTCAAACCTGTTTTGTTATCTGTGCCTCACAAGTGGTTTAAAAGTCTCCCGATTCAGCCAAGCTTGTCTTCCTCTTGGGAAACGCATTTGGAGCAACAAGAGGTAAAAAAATTAATGGAATTTTTTCACTATAAAATTTCAAAATATGAAGTAGATCAAACTTTAATCAATCATTAATTTTACACGTATTTATTCTTCTAATTTAAGTTTAATTAAAGAAACGTCCGGAGATGAGGAACTATGTTCTCCTAATGTTGAGTTGGGCTGCCGGATCAGCAGTCTGCTCAAATCCAGTAAGACTTTCTTTGTTATAGAATTTCTAGGGAATTATTCTTTCATTAATTATCATAAAAATACGAAGTAAACATGGTTTTTGTGAGCAAATTGTGGACTTTATAGCTTTATTAAAATCCCTTTTCTCACATTTTTCTCACAAACATGTTGGTTTCTTGCAGGTTGAAATGAAAATTATAGGTAAGCTCTCTCTCTCTCTCTCCCCTCCCCCCCTCTCTTTGTCTATCGCTCTCTCTTAGGGCGACGGTGGCACATAAGTTAAGTGCTCACCCTGCAATTGGAAGGTTGCAGGTTCGAGCCCTGCTCAGTCTGTCGCTGTCGTTGTGTCCTTGGGCAAGGCACTTAACCCACCTTGCCTGCTGGTGATGTTCGGAGGGACCTGTCATACCTGTGTACGGCAGACTCTCCTCTGTCAGTGTGCCCCAGGACAGCCATGGCTACAGTGTAGCTCATCACCACCAGGGTGTGAATGTGTGTGTAAATACAGTCTATGGTGTAAATGGGTGAATGCCCGATTTTGTTGTAAAGCGCCTTGGGGGGGTTCCAAGACTCTAGAAAGAGCTATATCATATACAGGCCATTTTCTCTCTCTCTCTCTCTCTCTCTCTCTCTCTCTCTCTCTCTCTCTCTCTCGCTCTCTCTCTCTCTCTCTCTCTCTCTCTCTCTCTCTCTCTCTCCATCACACTTTCCCTCCCTTCTCTCACTCTCCTGTTTGACTTTTTCTAAAACATCATGGCTTTAAATATGAATCTTGTCTGCTTTTGTAGACCTTAAAGAAGGAAATTGCTTCGTCAACAATGGTAAGCTAGACGTAGACTTTGGGTATTAAACATTTTATGAATAATTTAACCCTCCCACTGTCTTTATGAGTGACCCAGCGACGAAAGTTGACCATTGAGCAGGATTGATGGCTTATCCCTTGAGGTCCACGTGGCAGGGGTGAGGCAGTGCTCACTCCTCACCCCTGCCACGTGGACCCCAAGGGATAAGCCATCAATCCTGCGCAATGGTCAACTTTCCTCGCGGGGTCACACCCATTAGGACAGTAGGAGGGTTAATCTGATATGAAAGCTGACAATTTGATTTCTGTTAAAAACTTGTTTTGTGCTTTATTCTAGATGCTTTTTATGACAATGTTGAAAAAGTGAGTGTTTTATTTTTCTTAGCAAAGGATAAAACATGAAAAATTTAAAATAAGTCTTGCATGTGTGTGTGTGTGTGTGTGTGTGTGTGTGTGTGTGTGTGTGTGTGTGTGTGTGTGTGTGTGTGTGTGTGTGTGTGTGTGTGTTGTTTTATCTTAGCCACAAAACACCCAAAGGCTTGCCTACACAGCTCAGAACGTACGATGGACTTCCCCGATTCCTTATGTCTTTGGTGACGGCCTAGGTAAAGAAGATATTTCATGTAAATTAATATAAAAAAGCTAATTAGTGAGAAAATTCTTTATACCAGTAAATGTAGTAAATCAAAATAGTTAAAACAAGATGATGTCAAGGAAAGCAGTTCTAAATAAATTATTTTTTTGTAATACATATTTTTTTCTCTTGTCTTTGTCTCAATGGAAGACCTGAATGCCAAAGGAGTCATCCTGAAAGCCTTCGACAGCTTCAGGGTCAAGTCATGCATAGACTTTGTTCCAGAACTCTCTGAGGAGTATTACATCTCTGTCCAGAATTTAAATGGGTAATTTATTATTATTATTTATAATAATAATAATAATAATAATCCTCGTCGCCTTCCTCCGCTTATCCGGGTCCGAGTCGCGGGGGCAGCATCCCAACCAGGGAGCTCCAGACCGTCCTCTCCCTGGCCACCTCCACCAGCTCCTCCGGCAGGACCTCAAGGCGTTCCCGGACCAGATTGGAGATGTAACCTCTCCAACGTGTCCTGGGTCGACCCGGGGGCCTCCTGCCGGCAGGACATGCCCGAAACACCTCCCCAGGGAGGCGTCCAGGAGGCATCCTGACCAGATGCCCAAACCACCTCAACTGACTCCTTTCGATCAGGAGGAGCAGCGGTTCTACTCCGAGTCCCTCCCGAATGTCCGAGCTCCTAACCCTATCTCTAAGGCTGAACCCGGCCACCCTACGGAGGAAACTCATTTAAGGCCGCTTGTATCCGCGATCTCGTTCTTTCGGTCATTACCCAAAGCTCATGACCATAGGTGAGGATTGGGACGTAGATCGACCGGTAAATCGAGAGCCTGGCTTTCTGGCTCAGCTCCCTCTTCCCCACGACAGATCGGCTCAGCGTCCGCATCACTGCAGACGCCGAACCAATCCGCCCGTCGATCTTCCGATCCCTCCTACCCTCACTCGTGAACAAGACCCCGAGATAATTAAACTCCTCCACTTGAGGTAGGACCTCTCCCCTGACCGGGAGTTGGCAAGCCACCCTTTTCCGGTCGAGATAATAATATAATAATAATAATAATAACATTTGTTATTATTATTATTATTATTATTATGTTTTCTGTTCCAAGGTAAACTAACATTATAGTCATCTTCTAAAATTTTGCACCTGACAATGTTCTTTAGGCTTGTGAAATTATAAATTATTTGCTGAATATTTTATAGTTCTGTCTGTTTGTTGACAAAGAAAATGTTTGGTTAAGTTTCTTGCCCAATTATATAAATGTGACTAGCATTAAAGTGTTTTTTTCTAGATGTTTTTCAGACATTGGAAAAGAAAAAGCCAATGGACAGGCTCTCTCCATCGGAGACGGCTGTGGTCAACAGTATTTGGTTGAACATGAGTTTCTACACGCTCTTGGCTTCTTTCATGAGCAGTGCAGATACGACAGAGATGAGTATATAACTATTGTGTATGCAAACATCCTAAAAGGTTTGTGAAACTTCTCCATTGCAAACGTTTGTTTAATGTTTAATTCGGTTAAAGCTGCAATGGCAAATTTGGGAAACAAATTACGTTTTTTTCCCATGCCCTTAACAACGTTCTAACATAGTATAAAAAATGAATACAGTGGTTCTCTCAAATTTGTCAAAAAACCTCCACCAATAACACGTTTTGGAGCAAAAGCAACCATTAGATCACCCAGTTGTCGGTCTCACCGAACCGCCGCACTTCCCTGGGTCCTCCACTCATCACACACTCACATATTTAGTAACAGAACACCACTGGTGTGAGAGGATCTACGCTCAATAATATCAGAGAAGGAGAAACAGTCGGCTGCTGCCACATACGCTTTAGGACAAACTTTCAGAGTCCCAAAAAGAAATACATCATTTTAAGTTGTTTGGACCTAGAAAACGGCGACTGGTGTTTAGCGCTATCTCGTTTAGTCTGGCATCACAGGTTTCCGATTCCAGCAGAAGCGTCTTAAGCCTGATTCATGCTTCTCCGTCTGCGTCAGTGCGGAGACACGCAATGCCATTATCTGTCCTTGCGGGCTTGCTGGAGAGGCCCGCAAGGACGTACGGAGTCAAGCTCTCTTTTCTAAACATCTGTCCGTCGAGACGGAGAACGCAAGCTTGTGATTGGTCAGGATGCCGCTGTCATCTACACCGCCACCATTGCGCCCTCAAAAACATAAAGAGATTCGAGAATAACTAGCGACAGACGCGGAGAAGCTTGAAGAACACCTCGCCAAAAAACTATAAAATATGAACTTTTAATTCTTCCATGACTGGAGGAGTGAAAAGTTGAGCAGCAGGCATTTTATGTATGGACGGAAATGACAGGAAATGTGGGTTTAGAGGCGACAAGTGCATGAAGAGGTGGAGGAGAATGAGAGACAAATTCATCCATGTTAAAAAGTCTCTTATATACAAGAAAACACAATATAAACACACCATCTTGTACCGGATACATGACAGGATACCACAGAACAGCGCTACGTCCTCTGTTGTCCTGACGGGGAATTGTTTTGCAACATTCCCCAGGAGACGGAGAAGTATGAGAGCAAAATGCCTCCGTCCGTGCGTGTCTCTCCCTGTTGGAGCTGACGGAGAAGCATGAATCAGGCTTTAGAAGAAGAAGAAGAGGAAGAAGAAGAAGAAAATATCATTTCTGTAGCGCCTCTCAAGAAAAAAATCACGAGGCGCTTCACAAAAACAAAAACGTTAAAATATAATAAAGCATTTAGAAAATTTTTAAAAATATATTTAAAATGAGCAAAAATAGACAATTGGGATTAAAAATATGTTAAGGAAGAGAGAGAGTGAATAGGAAAGAGGGAAATCAGTTGTCATGTTGTGATGGTGGAGATGATGGACCAAGTGTGGTGGAGCTGACCAGGAGGCAGGAATGCAAGCACGGATAAAGTAACAATGGGTTTAATGAAAGGATAAGGCAGGAATAATGAGAACAACACGACAAACAACAATGATCTGACAAAGACTGGCACAAGCAGGGAGGCATAAATACACAGGGAAATCAGGAACACATGGGCAGGTTAACGAGGGGCAGGTGAGAACAATAAGGGCTAATCAGGGCAGGAGAGGAACACAGTCAGTAAGGCAGGGGCAGATCATGACATCAGTGGATCCTGAGGAAGGTGGAATAGGTGGGGAGAGCAGAATAAAGAGAGAGTGGTGAAGAAGGTCATACAAAAGCCAGCCTGAACAGGTGAGTCTGCAGCTGCTTTTTAAAGGAGACCACTGAGTCCACTGATCTCAGGCTCAGGGGGAGAGAGTTCCAGAGTCTGGGGGCCACAGCAGCAAATGATCTGTCACCTTTGGTCTTTAGCCTGGTGCTGCGCAACCAATAGGCTTTGATCACTGGACCGATGGACTGAAAAGCACTTTTAAACAAAGATGAGGGTAAGATGTGGAGGGGGCATGCAGAGGTCTTCATAGAGTTAACTAGTTTGGTTAACTCAGGCAAAGAAACAGGAGCAAAGCTATCTAGGATGATGGGCCTGGTTGGAGTCGGGAGAGGCAGCGATAAGGCTGAAGGAGAGACGCTAGATCTAACCTTGTTGACTTTGTCCACAAAGAAAGACAGAAAGTTCTCACAGTCTGTAACAGAGTGGATGGAGGCTGTAGGAGAGGCAGGAGAGTCGATGCTGCTGATGGTGTTAAACAGCACCTTGGGGTTCCCTTTGCTCTGGGACACCAGATTGGAGAAATAGGAAACCCTAGCGTCTCTGACTGCAGAGTTAAAGGATGTCAGAAGATCCTTTAGGTGCAGCAGATGGACGTGGAGATGGGTTTTCTTCCACAAACGCTCAATTTTTCTGCATTGGCGCTTCAGGCTGCGAAGGCTGTCATTAAACCAGGGAGTAGGGTTCACTACAGGAACTGATCTGGTTCTGACAGGACAGATGTTGTCCAGAATGGAGAGGCAGTGCTCGTTAAACTGAGAAGTTAAGGAATCTGGGTCGTTATCAGAAGAACAGGGTGGATCAAAGGTGGCAGAAAAATTGCTAGCTGTGCTCTCATTAAGAAAACCAGAACTAACCATACGGCGAGCAGGAGGTGGGGACGCAGAAACTGACAAGTTAAAGAAAATGCAATGGTGATCTGAAATATAAATGTCCTCAGGACAAACACTGTCAGCATTTAGACTCAGGGTAAAAACAAGGTCTAGAGTGTGCCCCCTGGTGTGTGTGGGGCCAGAAATGTGCTGTATAAAGCTGAAAGAGTCCATAAGGCTGGAGAAATTCATGGCAAAGTGATCAGAGGGATCATCAACGTGGATGTTGAAGTCACCAACAATCGCCAGTCTGGACAGCTTCACAGTGGAGGATAGAAAGTCACTAAACTCCTGAAGGAAAGAACTGTTTGGACCGGGTGGACGATAGACCACAGCACAGTAGAACGGGTCCTTACGCCCGACTTTAATCAGCTGCAGTTCAAAGGAAGCAAAGTTACCAGAGGTTGTAGAGCTACATGGAAGATGGTCTCTGAAAACAACAGCTAGGCCTCCACCATGACCAGAACCCTGGAGCTGGATAAGAAAAGAATTACCACTCGAGCAGAGTTCAATCAGACCAGAATAATCAGATGTTTGCTGCCAAACTTCGGTCAGAAACAGAAAATCCAGGTTTTTAGACAGAATTAGATCATTGAGCAGGAAAGACTTATTGTTAACAGAGCGGGAATTTAATAGAGCCATACTGAGTGAGGTGGAGGAATCAGAAACCACAGAAACAGTTGGAGTTAGTGGACGTAAATTAGCAGGGTTAGATCCACGGTGTTTATAAAAACCACTTATGGAGGGAACAGGAGGAGAAACCACTGAGGAATGAGGATAAACCGACCTTAAAAAACTTGGATGGATGAACCACGCTGCAACGCGGCCTGGCGGGAATGCGGAAGTGGCGCTCAGGTCACCAAACAAAGGACAAGAAGCTAGAAGATCACGCCGATGTTTACTAGATAAACCACGCTTTAAGAGAAGTCTTATTCTCACCTGGATTCCTGCTCGTTTACCGCTTTTCCACCGACGTTTTCCCGGGACCGGACAAACATCGCTAGAGGTGCGCAGCTCGGGACCGTTGTTTGGCTCCGGGCCAGTGCGCCACTCAGGTAGACAAACAGGATGGTACGTCCTCGGCACATCTTGGGCAATCATGAACGAATGGAAGGACAAAAGAGTCTTGCGATCATAGGAGATGGTAGCAGGGACACTACTGAGGAGGATCGCAGACAGGAGCAAGGTGGGAAAGTGGAGGTTAGTGGAGAAAAGTTTGAAAAAGTGGCCGGTGACCGCGGCTAAGCCAAGCACAGGCGCCATCTTGTTGCCGACCGGAAGCGGACGTGAGGCAAGATACCTGAGGGGAGGGGTGTGTTCGGTGACCGTGTTTGCATCCAAAACCTAAATTGTTTGCAGATTTGCTATAGCAGCTCTAGTAAATGTATCCTTAAGTATAAAAGCCTTGCTTTCACTATTATCGCCAGTTGTGTTCTAATCATTTCTTTATGTTGCCTAGGTCACAGTGGGAATTTTAAAAACATAAGTCGTGCAGTCAGCAGCACCTTTGGAACACCGTATGACTACTGGTCTGTGTTACATTACGGCAAAGATGCGTACAGCAACGGCAATGGCCCAACAATTCTCACCAAAGACCCAAAATTCCAGAATGTGATTGGTCAAACTCTGGGAATGAGTCCGCTCAATGCTCTGGAACTGAACCGCTTTTACAACTGCAGTAAGAGTTCACAGAGATTAAACTATGTAATGAACAACAAATAAGTACAAAATACTTGATTTGTAAAGTAAAAAAAAAAATCACTGTCTCGACATTTCCTTCACAAGTTTTTATTCTGATCTTTTTCCTGCAGCTTTGGAATTATCCACAGAAAAAAAACGTTATTATTACTATTATCAAAAACATACTTCATGCAACTTATTTTACTAGTAATGCATTGAAATGTTTTGCAAAAACCTTCAATTTGCAATGATGGATGATGTGAGAAAATCTAGTTTCAACTCTATATTTTTAAACAGTCTTAATAAAAAATAAACATCCATATTATTACAATGACTTTGTTCAAATTAGAGATGATTATGAAACAGATAATATCCAGCACAGATTGCTGTAAATGCATAAAGCCTCTACCAAGGTTTAGTACCTGTAATGCTGAGGCTCAAACTCTGTCCCAAAGGTTTCTGAATAGCACAAATGAGACCAGCCTGTAGTCAAGCTTGAAAATTAGCTGGTGTCCCAGTAGAACCACAGAAACAAGTGGAACTGTAAAAACTATAGATTTGGAAGTTCTGGTACTCCAAGTACATTTTTAAACTTTTAAAGCAAGAATTATTTTTTGCAAGTGCATGTTTTTCAATTTTATTTATTTATTTTTTTTTTACAAATATCTGTCATTCATTTTCTGCTTCTGAGAGAAGATTCTAGACAATTTATCAATGAAACAACGACCATGAATCCCTTTAAAGATTAGAAAAGAGAAATCAAATTTCACCAGGCGTCATGAAACAAGTCAGTCATCCCTGCTAAGATATAAACAAAGAGTCTTTGCTGTGTCTCACATCTGATGCAGGTCTGAGTCACTAATTAATCTTTCATTCCTCCTCACAGACTCAACCGCTGCCTTTCAGATGTACTGTGGTTTTATTAACGGTAGCATGTGTCAAATGAGACAGTGCTCACGGAGCGGTAACGGCTGGGAAATGATCTCACAAGTTCAAGGGGGTCCAAGCTCTGATCACACCAGTCTCCTCAGTAAAAACACAAATCAGGGTAAGAAATCAAAACCTATAAATTAAGCTTTAACATGTTTACTGCTAAATGTTTGATGTAAAAAATTGTTTGATGCATTGATGTGTGTCCTGTTTCTTCACGTTTCGGATCCTTTTGGATCCATTCTGGACAACATCTGTCCTGTCAGAACCAGATCAGTTCCTGCAGTGAACCCTACTCCCTGGTTTAATGACAGCCTTCGCAGCCTGAAGCGCCAATGCAGAAAAATTGAGCGTTTGTGGAAGAAAACCCATCTCCACGTCCATCTGCTGCACCTAAAGGATCTTCTGACATCCTTTAACTCTGCAGTCAGACGCTAGGGTTTCCTGTTTCTCCAGCCTGGTGTCCCAGAGCAAAGGGAACCCCAAGGTGCTGTTTAACACCATCAGCAGCATCGTCTCTCCTGCCTCTCCTACAGCCTCCATCCACTCTGTTGCAGACTGTGAGAACTTTCTGTCTTTCTTTGTGGACAAAGTCAATAAGGTTAGATCTAGCATCTCTCCTTCAGCCTTATCGCCGCATCTCCCGACTCCAACCAGGCCCATCATCCTAGATAGCTTTGCTCCTGTTTCTTTGCCTGAGTTAACCAAACTAGTTAACTCTATGAAGACCTCTGCATGCCCCCTCCACATCTTACCCTCATCTTTGTTTAAAAGTGCTTTTCAGTCCATCGGTCCCAGCGTGCTCTCTATAATTAATGCTTCTCTGGTCTCTGGTCAGGTCCCTGCTTACTTTAAGAACGCTGTAATCCACCCGCTTCTTAAAAAAACGAGTCTTGACCCCTCTCTCCATAGCGGCTTCAGACCCATCTCTAAACTTCCGTTCATCTCCAAGATCTTGGAAAAGGTTGTGGCTAAACAACTCACAGCTGCTCTTGATGAACATAACATCTATGATAGCTTCCAGTCAGGTTTTCGTAGAGCTCATTCTACTGAAACAGCTCTTCTTAGGGTCTCTAATGACCTTCTGACCCACAGTGATGCAGGGGACTGTTCTGTTCTGGTCCTGCTGGACCTGACTGCAGCCTTTGACACTGTTGACCATCACCTGCTACTGGAGAGGCTCAGAGACTGGGTAGGCCTATCAGGATCTGCTCTGGAGTGGTTCTCCTCTTATCTTTCTGAGCGCTCCTTTTCTGTGGCCGTCTCCAAGTTTCGGTCCTCCACCACCTCTCTTACCCACGGTGTCCCACAAGGTTCTATGCTGGGGCCTCTACTCTTCCTCCTCTATCTGCTTCCTCTTCAGCACATCCTGAGCTCCTTCAAAGGAATCTCATACCATCCTTATGCAGATGACATCCAACTGTACATCTCCTTTAAGCCCCATGAGATGTCTAAGCTGCAGCTGTTACACACCTGCTTAGACTCTATCAAAACCTGGATGGCTGGGAGCTTTCTTCAGCTGAATGAAGATAAGACTGAGATCCTCATCTGTGCCCCAGACAAGCTGGTTCCCAAAGTCAGAGACTCTCTTGGTCAGCTTGCTTTTCACACCAAACCCTCTGTCAGGAATCTTGGTGTGACCTTTGACCCAGCTCTCCCCCTGGATTCTCATGTCAGTTCTCTTGTTCGCTCTTCCTTCTTCCATCTCAGGAACGTTGCTAAGCTGAGTCCCATTCTGTCTCGCTCTGAACTTGAGACTGTTCTCCACACCTTCATCTCCTCACGCTTAGACTACTGTAACTCTCTTTTCACGTGTCTGAGCAGAACCTCCCTGAACCGTCTACAGGTGGTTCAGAACGCCTGTGCTCGGCTTCTGACCAAGTCCTCCAAACACACCCACATCACCCCTCTTCTCCTCCAGCTTCACTGGCTGCCAGTCAACTTCAGGGTTCATTTCAAGATCCTGGTTCTGGTCTATAGGGCCTTACATGGACAAGCACCATCTTACATTGGTGATCTTCTCAGTCCCTACACCCCCAGCAGGTCCCTGAGGTCCAGTGATCAAAGCCTACTGGTTGTGCAGCACCAGGCTAAAGGTTAAAGGTGACTGATCATCTGCTGCTGTGGCCTCCAGACTCTGGACCTCTCTCCCCCTGAGCCTGAGATCAGTGGACTCAGTGGTCTCCTTTAAAAAGCAGCTGAAGACTCACTTGTTCAAGCTGGTTTTTGTATGACCTTCTTCAACCCCTCTCTTTATTCTGCTCTCCACCTTCCTCAGGATCCACTGATTTCCCTCTTTCCTATTCACTCTCTCTCTTTCTTAACATTTTTTCTTTTAAATCACAATTGTCTATTTTTGCTCATTTTAAATATATTTTTTAACATTTTCTGAATGCTTTTTTATATTTTTACATGTTTTGTTTTTGTGAAGCGCCTCGTGATTTTTATCTTGAGAGGCGCTATAGAAATGAATTTTCTTCTTTTTCTTCTTCTTTTAAGTCTGCTTATAAGGGTTTGAATGTTTTTTTAACAACTCCAAGCTTGAGAATGTGTGACAGTGAGATTAAAGGCTTAAATAGAAAATTTTCTAGCATGACTAACCTAACTATTTGAAGCCTTTTGTCTATCGGGCCTTTTGTAGCATATTCAGATTTGCAGTGATGTTGCACAGAAGTATTAGCCTGGCCAGCCTGCCCCATGCTTCTTGGGTCGGGGAACTCTCCTACTCAAGTAACCCCACCCCCTGAGAATTCAAACCGAGCCAATCAGCACTGAGCAGTGTGGTCACACACCTTTTTTCTGATTGGTTATTTTTGACCTGGCTAGCCCCGCTCCTCATGTGCCTCTTTGCCTGTGAGTAACCAGACTAGTTCTCTGTGTAGAATTAAACAGAAGGCAAGTCTGGCAGGCTAGGCTACAGAAATGCAGCTATTGTAAGGCTTAAAGGGGCAACATGTAAGAATTCTACAGTAAAATAATCACTAAACAGTCTAAAGGAAGGAACATTACAGATTTCATTCTTAGGTGGCTGGAGTGTTGTCAGTCAGCCCCCCCCCCCCCCCCCCCCCCAATAATGCCAGAGAAATATTACCGTAATATGTATAGTAAGTGCTCCCTACCGTAAAACACCCGAGTGCTAAAACTAGATGTGACAGTGTATTTATCTACGTATCCTCTTACTGTGTGTGACTTGTTTTGCTTGTCACCTATAATCTTTTGGCGCAGATTCGTAACTGGCAACAACCATGAAACTCATAACGGGAGTGTGAAAGTGATTTTTTTGCTTGCAGAAGCCAAATTTGAGCACAGGATGTCATTATTACTTAGTTCTTTGCACCTTTAAAGCTAAATTAGCCATCACAATTAGAAAATGAGGATAATTGACTAGCTGTGCATGTACTGAAAACAAAAGACAAGCCTTTTCTATTTGGTACTCCCATAAGGAAAACAATCTTGATTGTTTTGTTTGTTTTTGCATTTTTTACAACAGTAAAATCCAGTCAATAAAATTGCTGATTTAGAGCACTCTATATTGTAAATAAGATGGTTCATTGTGCACTGAAGGACGTTGGATACCCAGAATCTTATCGCTTTACCATATGTACCCACTTACATTAAATGGACTCAGACTGTTTTATTTATATGCAGTATAATGCTAATGCTAATTTAACATAAAATGATTATTCAAGGCATAATTAGATATATCGTGTGAAGATCAACCATAATAAAGTTTGATACATTTTCTAGATCAAGAAACGGGATATTTCATGCATGCTAGCACGTCTTCCGGTCAGAAAGGAGATTCTAAACGGCTTGAGACACAGAGAATGGATTTGAAAAGGGAATGTAACGTCCAGTGTCTGCAGTTCTACTATTATTCCAGTGGGAATGAGTCTGATTCTCTCAACATCTGGGTCAGAGAGTTTCAAGATGCCTGGGACTCCACTGGAGCCATTCGGCTCATGAAACAGATCACTGGTACTGTTATTTAATCATGTTCTTTTCTATTTGCGCACTCAATAATAACAATAATAAAGTCATGAAATGCTCAAAAATTCTTCTTACAGGTTCTCGAACATCTTACTGGAAGCTCCAACACGTTTCCTTAAACGCCTCCAAGAACTTCCAGGTGGTGTTTGAGGTTCAGAAGGGACCTGGAAGTTCTGAGGGCGGTTTCTCAATTGATGACGTCAATCTCTCCGAGATCGAGTGTCCACATTTATCTTTGCAAATCGATGAATTTGAGAACATTTTTAGCTCTGATAGCAAAGAGAACATCTACAGTCCGCGTCATTACACGGAAAAAGGATATGCTTATAGACTGGCTGTTGGATTCAACCAGACTTCAGTTATGCTGTATGTGCAGCTCTTGTCAGGTGCCTATGATAGCACCTTAGAGTGGCCTGTCCTCCAAAATCAAGTGACTTTCCAAATGCTGGATCAGTCCCCTAACATCCAGATGCAGATGTCAAAGAAAAGGAGCTTCATGACTGACCAAAGTAAGACAACAAGGAAAGAAAAACGAAACAACATGTTACCTGTTTGGCTTAATGTTATATGTGCTCTTTATGAATAGGTGGCACATCCTGGACCAATCCTGGTGAAACAGGAAGTCTTATTATGACTCCGACTGAAGGGGAAGTCCATGCAGGACCTCTTACTGGTTTAAACAACTTTATGTCTTTGGAAGAAATGCAGTTTAGAGATTTCCTTAAAGGCGGGAGTGCCGTTTTCACCTTGAGTTTTCAAGGTAGGTTGAATTTCTATCTTTCTGTTAAATGAAACATTTCAGTTGCTTGAACATGTGTTTCTAATAGTTTCTTCTTTTGAATAGATCTCACTTCTCTAGTTAACGGAAGCACTCTACCGTGTCCTGAAATTAGAACTGTGGAGACGTCACACCCACCCACGCCTCTGGACAAAAGCCCATGTCTGTCACGGTAATCCACTTAAAAAGGTTTCAAAAGTGAAACAAAACATTAAAAGACATCCATGTTACTCACAACATGTGACTTTTACTGGATTTTAACCCCAAGTGATGCACCTTCTGAACCAACAGAAAACAGATAAAGCACATTATTTACATTTGCATGGTAAAACGACATAAGAGTGAAGGGAAAATCATGCTGCAACAATTAGTCCCAGTGGCCTAATAACTAGGTTAGGCTCCGATCCCTCAGTGGCCTAGCGGTATGAGCGTCCAGCTTGAGATTGGGAGATTGTGGGCTCAAATTCACGGTTGGGTCATTCCAAAGACTTTAAAATCGGGACCCAATTCCTCCCCGCTTGACACTCAGCAGTAAGGGGTTTGATTGGGGGGATTAAACCACTAAATGGTTCCTGAGCGCCGATGTGTCTGCAGCTCACCACTCCCCCAGGGGATGGGTCAAATGTGAAGAAGAGAATGCCACACTAGTGTGACAACTAATAGGACTTTAACTTAATCTAGAACGTGGCTGGGTTGTGACATATTTGTAAAATGAAGGCAATCAACAGTAAGATTTTAGGTCGTTGGCTGCGCAGAGGCGCAGTGGTTAGAGCTGTTGCTTTGCAGCAAGAAGGTCCTGGGTTCACTTCCCGACCTGGGATCTTTCTGCATGGAGTTTACGTGTTCTCCCTGTGCATGCGTGGGTTCTCTCCGGGTACTCCGGCTTCCTCCCACAGTCCAAAAACATGACTGTTAGGTTGATTGGTCTGTCTAAATTGTCCTTAGGTGTGTGTGTGTGTGTGTGTGTGTGTGTGTGTGTGTGTGTGTGTGTGTGTGTGTGTGTGTGTGTGTGTGTGTGTGTGTGTGTGTGTGTGTGTGTGTGTGTGTGTGTGTGCATGATTGTTTGTCCTGTGTGTCTCTGTGTTGCCCTGCGATGGACTGGCTCTCTGTCCAGGGTGTACGTCGCCTGATGATCCATTGACCGCTGGAGATAGGCACCAGCCCCCCCGTGACCCTATGTGGACAAAGCGGGTTCAGACAATGGATGGATGGTTCTTTGTTGGTAATTTCCTTGGCCAGTGCAGAATGGACTTCCATAATACTCATAAAGTACACCAGACATTAAAGGGCATTTCATTGGACCTGCTGGACCTGACTGCAGCCTTTGACACTGTTGACCATCACCTGCTACTGGAGAGGCTCAGAGACTGGGTAGGCCTATCAGGATCTGCTCTGGAGTGGTTCTCCTCTTATCTTTCTGAGCACTCCTTTCTGTGGCTGTCTCCAAGTTTAGGTGCTCCACCACTTCTCTTACCCATGGTGTCCCACAAGGTTCTGTGCTGGGGCCTCTGCTCTTCCTCCTCTATCTGCTTCCTCTTCAGCACATCCTGAGCTCCTTCAAAGGAATCTCCTACGATCTTTATGCAGATGACATCCAACTGTACATCTCCTTTAAGCCCCATGAGATGTCTAAGCTGCAGCTGTTACACACCTGCTTAGACTCTATCAAAACCTGGATGGCTGGGAGCTTTCTTCAGCTGAATGAAGATAAGACTGAGATCCTCATCTGTGCCCCAGACAAGCTGGTTCCCAAAGTCAGAGACTCTCTTGGTCAGCTTGCTTCCCACACCAAACCTTCTCTCAGGAATCTTGGCGTGACCTTTGACCCAGCTCTCCCCCTGGATTCTCATGTCAGTTCTCTTGTTCGCTCTTCCTTCTTCCATCTCAGGAACATTGCTAAGCTGAGTCCCATTCTGTCCCGCTCTGAACTTGAGACAGTTCTCCACACCTTCATCTCCTCACGCTTAGACTACTGTAACTCTCTTTTCACGTGTCTGAGCAGAACCTCCCTGAACCGTCTACAGGTGGTTCAGAACGCCTGTGCTCGGCTTCTGACCAAGTCCTCCAAACACACCCACATCACCCCGCTTCTCCTCCAGCTTCACTGGCTGCCAGTCAACTTCAGGATTCATTTCAAGATCCTGGTTCTGGTCTATCGGGCCTTACATGGACAAGCACCATCTTACATTGGTGATCTTCTTAGTCCCTACACCCCCAGCAGGTCCCTGAGGTCCAGTGATCAAAGCCTACTGGTTGTGCAGCACCAGGCTAAAGACCAAAGGTGACAGATCATTTGCTGCTGTGGCCCCCAGATTCTGAAAAGATTATGCCTATAATTTCCGGACTATACAGAGCGCACCTCAATTTAAGCCGCACCGGGCTAAAAGATGCAGATATCTACTGAATTGAAAACGTAGTTTAATTGAACGTAGCTGAACTGATCAGTATCAAACAAAACAGAAAAGTTATTGATTAGTTTATTCATCGTCCTCCTGCGCACTGAAACCATTGAAGTCATTTTATTCAGTGTCGGAGTAGAACAGCCTCAGAAGAGCTTCGTCACATACCTTTTCTGTGGCGATGTCAGTGTCGCTCTCCGTGTTGCTGTCATCATCCCGGGGTGAAGCTGGGAAAACAAGCAGCGCCGTTTTACTGTGAAAGAAATCCTCCTGGGCGCTTTCCGTAGCGCTCCTTTAACCATTCCTTCATTAGACTTTCCAGCATCCATCCTTTCTGGTTGACTAAAGCCGCACCTCATTATAAGCCGCATGGTTCAAAGCGTGGGAAAAAGTAGCGGCTTATAGTCCGGAAAATACGGTACTACTGCTCTTTGTATTCACAAAACAATTGTTTGACCTACCACACCACACCTATTTATTTCTATGGCACATTTAAAAACAGCATGGGAGCTGACCACAGTCATGTAAAACTTCAGATGCCTGCCCTTTCCCACATCCAATATTCTCCCTTGATCCCTCATTTATTACAAAATTCCCTGACCCTGACACCACCTACATTTGCACCATTCCTAAGATCCACACCGGTACAACTCTCGTGGAACATCTTCGGATGCAGCTACGTACTGGAGAGGTTGTAGCATCACATTGTAGATATGTTGCCTGCCACCACTGTAATAACCTACAGTGGCCTTGCTATGTGCATACTTAAAACCATAGACGTAATTTTGGGGGGGGGGGGAACAGGGGGGGCATGCCCCCCCCCCTTTCCAAAGTCAAGTTTTGACCCCTGCACTTTTTACCATCCAAAAACAATATTATGCTATATTAAATTGACACTGGTTTAGCTCAAGGACCGAAGCCTGTTTCCCATTAAATACCCCCCCCCCCCCCCCCCCACACACACACACACACACTTCTAAAGTGAAGATTACGTCCATGCTTAAAACTGTCATTGTCCTGTCACACTCCGTCCATGTAGGGGCCACTGCTAAAGATGACGCAAAGACCCATGGTGATTATTTCAATGTTGTGGCAAGGCTGACATCTAGTGTCAACAAGGCCATATAACAGAAGGTGAACTTTCAGTTCTGCAAGTTGTTGCAAAGCAGAGAATTGCATTTGTCAAGCATGAACGTTTAATTAAAACCGATGCAAGAAAGCAGGTAAGAACCCAATCAGCTGCAGTCAGAACTGATCAGAAGTGGAGAAGGTGCTAAACCTAGTGGAACAGTTGGAGCCCAATGCTTACTGATGCATGTGTGAAGGACTCACCGGCCCTGGACAAAAGGCTTAACCCAATAAAAAAATTAAATACTATTTAAATTTAAATGCATTCACTTTCAGGCTTGTGTATGGGGTTGCTTTAGAGTGTATCAATACCAGGGTATTCAGTTGAGGTGACTCAGTCTAATAAATTACATTTTCTAGTTAGGTAAACTATTCCATGTCAGGATGTGCTAACTTGTCATTCTTCTATTTTAGAGTTTCCAGCTTCTCCCCTGGGTTGGTGGCATCTCCCGTCCTCACCTTTCTACTAGTCCTGAAACATCTGGAGTTCTGATTGCACTCTACGCAGAGGACTCCAACAAATTCCAAACCCTAAAATCACCATTTTTATTTCAGCTCTATTTGTTCTTCATCTATTAACAGTGGTTGGTGCTATACACGGTCTAGGTATGGTTTGCAGAATGAGTGGAAATTCAAGATCTTCAGTTTGTATTGTCAGTGTAAAAACTATGCCTGATGTATGTGATTCATATTCTTTCTGTAAGGTTTTTAATTAGTTTATTTGATCTTTATTCAGCGTCCAATCAAAACAAAACAAAATAAATTTTGATATCGAAAGTATGATTAACATTGTGTTTATGCTTTTGACAGCTTAGAAACAATATAAACCATTACGTTCAGCATAGTTATTTTCATTTAAAGGGAACCTCAGAATCCCATTCATTTAATTGGTTTATAATTAAATCTGCATTGAAATAATCTACGTTTCCCCTGACGCCGGTTTCTAAACAGACTATCACAAAATTCTGTTGTACAAAACGTTATCACATTTATTTCAACCCATACATGACCACAATATATTATGTCTTACTGTACCACTTTAATTTTCACATAACATGTTCTCATGCATCACCTGAAGCCATCTGATAGACACCACCTCTCGGTACATCCAAAACATCATACAGGAAAGACATTTGTGCTACAGTATGTAGGCATGGCTCGGCCAGTTCTGGCTCCTTGGTAGTTGTCTTAGTCTCTCTGTTGACCCTGGAAATCAGTTGGAAGAGAGTCTCTGAATCCAATTCCTAAAACTTAGTCCAGGTTCCTTTGTGTCTCTGTGCCAGTCCAAGCCGTGGTCTGAAAGCTGGTTCCAGGCAGCCTGAGCACCTCTAGCCAATGGTGACCCCGAAGCCACACTGAAACTTGTTTTTGCGATGGTTGAGGAAAGCCCCCAGAGCCAGCGTGAGAGGGAGTGGAAGTAGTTTCTTTTCGAGGGTAGCTCCAACCACCCAGTTACTGTCGACCGTTCCTTCAGAGGACAAAACAACGTATGTTTTCATTTTGGAGCTTTCACTTTAGAAATGATTCATGTTGAGGTTACAATCATAAAACCTTTACTCACCCTTGAAGAGCAAATTAGCTTTCGGAAGGTCCAGCTGGTAACCGAAGGATGTTGTAGTGTCTTGCATCCTAGTGCTGGCTTCAAATTCAACACCTACCTGCAACTATAAAGCACAGAAATCCAAAGAGTTAGCGAGCCGAGTCCACGTGAGCACAACATCAGATTTATAGATACACACTTATTGGTGCAGGACTTCTAAAGAATCTCTTTTCAGGTAGATTTTGGACAATTACTGTTTTTTAAATCCAAAAATAATTTTTGTTTTCATAAAGTACACTTCCCAGGCCAAAGAATAAAAATTCGCCACCTGGATTTAACTAAGAAAACAGGTGCGAGCCTTCTGTTTGATAACTACTGGTGGGTGGTTATCTTCTAGCATTCCAATAAGTTATTTAACCCCAACTGGTGCAAATAGTTGCTTCTCATTTCTTAAACAACATGGTGGAAAGACACATCTGATGCTCGCGGAAAAGATGTTAGTCTGTGTGAGAAGGGTCAGATCATTGGCATCAAGCAGAGAAAACATCTAAGGAGATGCAGAAACGACTAAAACTGGGTTCAGAACTGTCCAACATGTTAAAAACTGGTCTGATGAGTCCAGATGGGCCCTGGTCCAGAGTGATGGTGCATCAGGGTAAGAAGAGAGGCGGACGCACCCATCATGCCTAGAGCCTACTGTACAAGCCTGTGGGGGCAGTGCTATGATCTGGGCTTGCTGCAGTTGGTCAGGTCTAGGTTCAGCATGAATGAGGTCAGCTGACTACCTGAATATCCATCTTCCCTGATGGCACGGCCATATTCCAAGACGACAAAGCCAGGATTCATCAGGCTCAAATAGTGAAAGAGCGGAGACATCATTTTCACACACGGATCGGCCACCACAGAGTCCAGACCTTAACCCCACTGAGAATCTTTGGGATGTGCTGGAGAAGGCTTTGTGCAGCGGTCAGACTCTACCATCATCAATGCAAAATCTCTGTGGAACATCAATGCAACACTGGATGGAAATAAATCCGGTGAAGAAGCTAATCGAAACAACGCCACAGCAAATGTGTGTTGTAATCAAAGCTAGAGGTGGTCCAACAAAATATTACTGTGTGACCTTTTTTTTTTTGGTGGCAACAATTTTTTTTTGGGTAGGATTGATCAATACAACCAAGTCACATTGAAAGATTTTCAGTACCTGATCATTCGCTTTGTGGTAGTACGTAGCATGAGCTCCAGCTCCGCCCAAAGTTAAAGTAGCAACAAAGTTGTCACCTGTGAAGTAAAAAAATGTTTTTGCTGATCAAACAAAAGAAATATGATGCACAAGAGTACATGAACGTGTATTTGATAATGATTTATACAGTTGGAGCTGGAGTCACAATAATAATAATAACAATAATAATAAACTAATCAGACCTTACCTGTGTACCTTCCCAAAAGGGAGGTGACTGTTCCTTCCTCTCCGGGTCTTCTGTGATACACCAGTTCTCCGCCCAAAACCAGTGATGGTGTGATTGACTGGAGATAGTGAGCGACCACAATCCCTGTAATAAACCATCGGATTACATGAATGAACTCAACGTGTGACATGATTTCAACGTGAAGGTTTTCCCTTCAGAACTTTATCACATATTTAAACCCTGCAGTTGACACACTTTTTTAGTGAGTAACTTTATTTCTATAGCACCTCTCACAGACAAAAAGGTCACAAAGTGCTTCACAAGTTAAAGGCAACAACATATAAATACAGTAAAATACAGCCACAATATACATAGTGTCAAATACCACCAATCCGAATGAGACTAAGTTTAAAATGCCTGGAGAAACAAATGGGTTTTAAGATTGCTCTTAAAAACATCAACTGAGTCGATTGAGCGTAAAGACAGAGGTAGCTCATTCCAGAGCCTAGGAGCGACGGCCTGGAATGAGCGATCTCCTCGTGTCCTGAACTGAGTACGTGGGACCATTAAAAGGTTTTGATCCAGTGATCTCAGCCTGCGAGAAGGCGTGTAAGGGCAGAGCATGTCTCGAACATACAATGGAGCCAGACCATGCAGCGCTCTGAAAGTCAGCACAAGAATTTTAAAATTGATGCAAGATGTGATTGGAAGCCAATGAAGAGCTTTTAAAATGGGGGTAATGTGGGCCCTTCTGTTGTCACGGGTCAGAATTCTAGCCGCACAATTCTGGACTTGCTGTAAGCGGGACAGCTCTTTTTTGTTTCGACAAGAAAATAAACTATTACAGTAGTCTAAACGGGATGATGTAAACGCGTGAATAATCAACTCAAGATCAACTTTAGACACCATTGTTCTGAGTTTAGAAATGATAAAAAAAAATTGTTTCAAGTTGATGTCAAAATGAGTGGTAATTACCACATTTAATCGTATATAGTCAGATATAGAAACTAATGTATTAAAGGTATCGATACAAAACTTTAGTGTTTGATTTAGAGAGAGAGAGAGAAAAAAAAGAGTTGTGATTTTATCCAAACCAAGTTTCATTCTTGCTTTAAGCCCAGCATCTTCGTATGAACCAACTCTAGTCTGTCATCTGTTATTTTTTCTATTCTACAAAGCTACAATCTTGACCTCTGGGTGCATGGTCTCTGTAATCGTCTCAGTCAGATGTTTGTTTTATTCCATGCCACACGTACAGGCGCCCTCTTGCTGCAGTTTTCAGTGCAGTCAGCCCAAAACTGGCTAAGTATTAATTCATGACATTGTTAATTATGTAGTTAACAGGCTCTATAAGATTGAACCAAGTGATGTGAATCATGATTTCTTATATTTTTAGAAAATTGTGTGACATGTTTTTTTTTCCCATCATTCTGAATTTTCCTAAATTTGTTTGTTGTATAATAAAAACCCAATAACCTGATCATTTGAAGATGTATCTCCTGAATTTAAGGAATAAAAGTTAACCCTCCACACGAGTTTGCTTTCGTGGTAGCTTATCAGCGATTTTCCAAAGGCTCCAAGTAGGGATGTCCCGATCAGGTTTTTTGCCCTCGAGTCCGAGTCATTTGATTTTGAGAATCTGCTGATATCGAGTCCCGATCCGATACTTTCGATACATAAAAAAATAAATAAAGAAAAGGAAGAAACAGTTCCAGAATGTTCCTTATTTTTTATTTAATTACCTTTTTATTTTAATTTTTAACAACAGATCACTTCTGTGGGGTAGCTTGAACAATCAAGTAATAAATAACATAAATTCTTTACTTTTGGACTTTATTGCAAACATAAAAAGTCTAATATAAAAACTGATAGCACTTCAACTTAAAATACCTGGCAGGGGTCTATTTTGCCTCGGCCCCCAAAATGCTTAGATACGCCCCTGGACATGGGACGGAGATTTGAAGATGTTCTGAATTGTATCAACTATATAAATACTACATGCTCATAAGTTATTGCTTTATACAGGTACAAACGTGTAGTGGGATCAATCTACCTACATTTTGTTTTTTTAAGAACTTTGTTATGTTTTCTTGGTTTTTATTTTCCTGTCTTCCTGTCCTGTCTGTCTCTGATCTTCCTGTCCCGTCTGTCTCTGATCTTCCTGTCCTGTCTGTCTCTGATCTTCCTGTCCCGTCTGTCTCTGATCTTCCTGCATCTCTCAGTCCTCCAGAAAAATTCCTGCCTGCTTCCTTCTTTTTCACCTCACAAGTCACTTTTTAACTAGCAGATCAAATTGATCTATTGACCGCAAAAAAAGCTGAGCGTGCGCCGCGCTGCCCGGCTGCACCAGTGAGGAGGGCTGCAGCGCGAGCGCGTCCACACGTCGTGCTCAAATACAGACAGAACTTACCAGAGAGAAAATGAACGGACACGAACGACTGTGTGTTAATTATATCTTTTTTTGGTGACGCCACTTAGAAACTTAGAAAATGTTACTGTGGCCGTGTGCAGAACGCAGCTCATGAATCATCAGCGGTCTGCCTGCCGCTCTGCTCAAAAGAATCCCCGCTACGCTGAGTCCATATAAATAATATAATACGGGTGGAAACTGGATCTCTTTTGTGCTCCTTCTGGGTGTGTAAGTTAAGGGCATCAGGGGAGCCTGACAACCTTTAAGGAGAACCAAGTTGCTCTCCTGTAATTTGAACCCAGTATCCGAGTCCGGATCGGGGCGTAAAGCCCGAGTCCCGATCGAGTCTGAAACCACGTGATCGGGGCCGATTTCCGAGCACGTGATCGGATCGGGACATCCCTAGCTCCAAGTATTAGACACATCTGGGAGTGATTATTCTGCGCTATTTAAAGGTTTTTAATAAGGATGCTCCGATCTGATCATGTGATTTTCAACGGTTTTAAATCAAGTGGGAAAGATTGGACTTAACCATATAAAACAAACATGACTTTAATTCATCCTGAGAAAGAGATTTTCAAACTGAATAACAATGGCTTAGTTTTAAATTCAACAAGCTCCTCTACATCAGTATTCTGTTTCACAGACAACAACACGGTACAGTCCCACAATCTAACGAAGCTCTGTAATTCATACACCATGATGTGCAGCTGCGAGCTAACAGGCTAACACAGAGCAAACTCGTCGCCTTAAGAGACAGAAAAGGTCTAATTTGAATGTATTTTTTAAACGGATGGCAAAATAAGTGTAATGGACATGTGTAATGTGTGCAAACTGGGCATTTAACGTGGTGGAAAAGCTAGTGCTGCGTTCAACAGTGCGAATCTGGTGCGCCACCAAAAAAAAGCTAACCCATCCAATTTGCTGCAACTATTTGGATAAGCCAGCCGGCACTAAAAATGCATAAAGATAGTCGTATATTTATCAGACTGGATGAGTGTGGTTGCAAACGTCGGGTTTTGCCGTCTCCTTGAGTCACGCAGCAGCACTGAAGGTGTTCTGTAGAAAGAAGTGACCCTGCTGCTGGCTGTCATGTGTTGTGCCATCCCTGTCGCAGGAATACGAATCGCTCAAAGCGATTTCTAAAGTATCGGATCGGGACTCGGTGTCGGCAGATTCTTAAAATCAAATGACTCTGAATCGGATCTGTAGTAAAAAGCACGATTGGAACTTCCCTAGTTGTTTAGAATTAAAACAAACCTCCTTAATATGAACATAAATTTGTTTAAACAAGTTTTATTTAAAGACCGTCGTCGTCTTCCTCCGCTTGTCCGGGTCCGGGTCGCGGGGGCAGCATCCCAACTAGGGAGCTCCAGACCGTCCTCTGCCCGGCCACCTCCACCAGCTCCTCCGGCAGGACCCCAAGGCGTTCCCGGACCAGATTGGAGATGTAACCTCTCCAACGTGTCCTGGGTCGACCCGGGGGCCTCCTGCCGGCAGGACATGCCCGAAACACCTCCCCAGGGAGGCGTCCAGGAGGCATCCTGACCAGATGCCCAAACCACCTCAACTGGCTCCTTTCGATCCGGAGGAGCAGCGGTTCTACTCCGAGTCCCTCCCGAATGTCCGAGCTCCTCACCCTATCTCTAAGGCTGAGCCCGGCCACCCTACGGAGGAAACTCATTTCGGCCGCTTGTATCCGCGATCTCGTTCTTTCGGTCATTACCCAAAGCTCATGACCATAGGTGAGGATTGGGACGTAGATCCACCGGTAAAGGCTAGTAGAAATATTTTCTATAAGGAAATAAAAACTCTTGGATCTTAGGTTTAGAAAGTAAACGTTATCAAACTTGAAGGACATTACTCCCAAAGCAAAAATAATAAATACAAGCGATATTTACAATATGACACAATGTTCTTGAACAAATGAGCCCATAAGTTTTGGTTTTCCTGGTCTAATCATAAACATACCAGATCCAACAAGAACATCTGGGTTTCCGAGGGTCACGGCGGAGGTGAAGTCTTGACCACGATATTCCAGATCACACTGCCAATTCACGAACTTCTGCTGCTGAGTCTACAACAAAGAAACAAAAAGAAAGATCAAATCTGAACAACACTTCGTACAATAATGTAAAAGCAGACATTTACTCTTTAGGATCCCATTTCCATTAATATGATTTTGTTTATTACACACACCTGGATGGCTACTTTGGCGCGTACAGCACTAGTAAGCTGGTGAATGATCTGAGCATTCAAACTGCCAGTGTTGTCCATGTCTCCCACCATGACTGGAAACGACTAAGAAAGCACAGTGCACAATTGTAGTTATGGGACATCATCTTTCTGTATAAGTAGTGACAGAGTAAGGTTATATTAATGTCTGCTTCATTTAAAAGTTCATTAAATGCTATTTAAGTTTAATAATTACCTCTGCTGGTCCAGTCTGTTTACTGCCAACATACGTAGAACCAAACCGATAACCGGAATCACCTAGCGTGCTGAGGGTAACAGTGTGACTGACTTGGAAGTGATTACTCAGACCCTTGTTGACCAGCAATCGCACTCCTTCCATCTGAAGAGGAAACACCTCTAAAAAAGCAAAACAATTAGTTACTTTATATCTCCGTAGCAGCAAAACAACACCAGGATTAGTGCTTAAAAGTGAAATATCAATAATTCTACAAAACTCATCAATATTTACTACCCGTCTCCTCACCTTTACATTTCCGATGGCACTCCTCATAGGTGCCTGGGTTTGGGAGTGAGGAATCTGTCTGCTGACCAGATTCAGGCGTTGAAGGGACGGAAGACACTGAGGGCATAGTGAACCCTGGAGGGACCGACACCAACCCTGGAAGTCCTTGACCACCTCCAGCAGCCGCTGGGGCTGGACTGGGTGAGGCAGCAGCCAACACACTGCCCATTATCTGTCACAGTAACGGACTGGAAGAAAAGATGTGGATTTAAAATGAGTTATAAAAGCTGTTTATATCTGTGGGGGTAATAATACAAAGGTCTAGAGGTGGAATTAATAACCACATATGACTGATGAAATGGTATTTAGCATTCATTGATTTGTAAGATCTGGAATGTTTACTCACATGATTAAAGTACTTTTAATAGAAAACGGTTTGAATCCTTTTAACAAATGAACCGTAGCATTGTAAACACCAAAACTAGAATTTACCCGGCAATCCTGAAAGCTGTAATGATGCATCCACTGAACTAGCAAGCTGTTTGTACCCAAGGCCTAGCCAAGTCAGATTCCAGATATATAAAATGCATTTAGGTAACAACGACAAATATCAAACTTCAACTTGTGGCTTTTCTAATCAGGCCAATTTAGAGCAAGCAGTCAAATTAAAAACCTGCTAGCTAACCTTAATCTCTGAGCGCTAATGTAACATTGCAGGGTTAGTATGTTAGCTAGCTGGCTAGGTAGCCATGTGGAGTCCACCACGAGATCAGGTCGCATAAATATCACAACCACCATACATAAAAATGCCATAGAAGGAATCATAAAATAAGCCGCGACCCATTTTTCATAAAACCCACAAGAAATATTTTGATTTACCTACTCACGAAGACGGTTAGGGGCCAGGGGGTAGTTAAACACCGGTAAAGTTCACGAGAACGTCCGTGACCGTAGTGCTAGAATGTCCGCCCATTTCCTCTATGGCGTTCGCTGATTGGCCGATGAACGGACATTTTGAACCACCATTGGCTAAAAAGACGGCTGGGGTGGTCCGAAATTGATGACGTAACGAGAGATCCATTCGCCGCACATTGGTTTATTTCATGTTCCTGCTGAATGACATTCCAAGGGTACGCCTAGTTAGGGGGCTTTCACGTGAACGTAAAATCACAAAACTTGGAATATCATGAGCGCCATTTAAAAATCGCATTTTAGGTAAACAAAATGAGAATAAACCGCAGTCCTAAAAGCGTTTCGTACAAATAATTAGCTGTGTTTTCAACCTAAATTCTAACAACATTAGAAACTTTGGAAATAATCCATAAAGACATCACCCCCAGACCTGAAATAAACTTTTAGGAAGAACAGCTTCTAATTTTAACAAATTGTCTGATTTTGAGGCAAAGAATATAAATGAAATAGCATCAAATATCAAAATACAACAAATAAATATATAGGGTTTGACATCATTATAAAATAATTAATCAATTGTCTTCTGTATTGATTTTGGCTCACTGATTTATTAAATGATGCCAGTTATGTTCACAGTGCTCAGGTGCTGCCCTTACTGAGGTAAACATGACCCCAAACACCATGTTTATACAAGCAGAGTGCTGTGTGCTTTTCACAGGCAAACTGAATAAAAAATTACAACAAAGTGAGCTATCTTATGTTATTAAAAATAATTAAATTCAGAACTGACTGAACTAAAGCAGAAACACTACAGCTGACAAAAGTTAAACAAAACAGACAACAACCAATATAATTCCGCAAATTGTAGGTTTCTGTGACTATTTACATGCTACATCTATTGATTATATTAAATGCACTATAGATTATGGAAATGCATAAAAGGGATTCCGATTTACTTTACTTCTTCAGCCAAGTGAAATCCGTGTGACAAAACTTTAGATACTCGTGAAAGATAGTATCCCACTATCTGGAATGTTTACTCACATCAGTATCAGAAATAGTTTTTTAGTTATTAAAACTTGTGTATCGTAAACATTTTGTGTGATCTTTCTTTAAGATTATGACATGCCATGTCAGGCCATACCATAAAATATCAATACTAATGTAATGATAATGGAATCTAACATTTACCTTTGTATTCAAACATCTTCATATTAAGAGGTAGACCTATACATCGATCGGCCAACATATCGGGCTGACATTGACCATACATCGGCATCGACCGGTATTTGTCCTTAAAGCCGATTTAAAGTCAGGCCCATCCTTGGGCAGCCCAGTGTTGCAGGATTGAATTAAAATATGTTTTTGTGTTAACTAATAACATCTGCATAATAAATACTCTAAATTAACATTATTTGGGTGTATGACTTTAACACTGAGAAGTGCACAGAGTTGAGATTTACCAGTGAAAAGAGTTCAAAAACTGATTCAGCTTCAGAATATTGTGCATCAACTGATGTTTTAAGCATGAAAAAACTGGTAAACGGTAAATGGCCTGTATTTGATATAGTGCCTTCTAGAGTCCTGGAACCCCCCAAGGCGCTTCACAACACAATCAGTCATTCACCCATTCACACACACATTCACACACTGGTGGGGATGAGCTACGATGTAGCCACAGCTGCCCTGGGGCGCACTGACAGAGGCGAGGCTGCCGAGCACCGGCGCCACCGGGCCCTCCGACCACCACCAGCAGGCAACGTGGGTTAAGTGTCTTGCTCAAGGACACAACGACAGCGACAGACTGAGCGGGGCTCAAACCTGCAACCTTCCGATTACGGGACGAGCACTTAACTCCTGTGCCATCGTCGCCCCAGGTGGCACAGGCTGCAAAAAAGGTGGAAATGTCCAGATGTTGGCCATGAAAATTGGCAGTACTTATCAGCCATCGGCTGACCCACATAACAGCATCGGTATCAGCAATAGAAAAACCAGTCGGTGCTGGTTTTAGCACAGGCTGCTAAAAACTCTTCTAACTGACCAATCACCACTCAGTTCTTTGGTTTAAAGCAAACCACTACAGAGACCACAAGGTTTTAACAAGTAATCTAGAAAAACACTCATAGTTTTTAATGATGATGGAAAAAACACACATGTATACAAGTAAACAAACACAATAGCAAACAAAATGAAGTACATTATTTAAATATAGAAGAGAGGGAATTTGTCTCTATTGAGTACGTTGGAAAAATGTACAAAACTAAACAAAAATACTGGAACTGTTGCCTTTGATGGTCGATAATATAGACCATCATTACATATTCTCTAGTGCAGTCTCTGTTTTGCATACAAGACCAGTCTGGTGTAAGAAAACCTTTAAACGAACCATGGGGGTGGGTGGGTGTAATTATGCTCAAACAGAACTAAGTGAACAATATAAATTTAACAATTAAACAAATTTTACACTTTATTTCTATTAATGTGACTTTATAAACAATTGTAGTAAATTCTCAAAATAAGGTATCAAATTATTCACAGACTGTACCGACCCTTGGCAGAGTTAGGGACCCCTGCCCTACCGTACAGCAGTGAAGACAACAGCAATGTAAATATCTACAGTTCAAGTAAGGATAGGAATATTGGTTACTTCTCATTTACTCTTATTTACAATATAGATGTAAAAATGAAAGTAAAGTGGCAAAAACTCAGATTTCAATGTCATTTACACATAAGTACATGGAGTTTCATTATTGTCTTTCACATATTTCACTTCATGTTGATCAGTAAACCATCCGGTCACTGCAGCTGTTTTTCTCCCCATTCACTGCAAAAGTGTCCAAAGCAGCAGCTGATAGGACTGGAGATCAAAGGAGGGCTGCCAGTCGCAATCCGGTTGAGTTCTGAAACCTGATTATTCAGGTCTGCCCACTTAAATGTCCTGAGTTTGATGCTTAGCTGGAGGTAGTTGCAGGCTTCATTGTTGGATCATATCAGTCTAGTAATAGTGAACCTGTGCAGGTGGAGTCTTTGGGGAATGGGATGCACTATTATGAAAGGTGTGTGGTGTCGATGAAGGTGAAGATCCACGACTTTGGCTGGAAGATGGAGATCCTGAAAGACCACAAAAGGAAGAACAGTTACTGCTGATGTTGGCGATGCCTTCACATATCCTGTCTGCGACCTTGTGTGTGAAGGTTCTCACCGTTTTCCATATAGTTGGACCCGTGTGGTGAGATCAACAGAGTGTGTGGATCTCTGACATGTTTGGAGCCTCTTCCCCGTAACACATCAGCTATCTGCAAAAGGTTTATAACAAACTTTGGTAAATATTTAAAGTCAGTGGAGTAGTTATGTTTTAACTAGAGGTGGGAATTTAATGACGTTGCGTTAATTACAAATAATTATTTTAAAAAAGCGAAAAAATTAGCATGACATTTCATGCCCACCATATCAATAAATATAATCAAACTGCACTTCTAACAGAACTGCAGAGCCCAGGCTACAAGAGATATAAATCTTTTTTATGTGCTCTATCACAGTTAAAAATATGATTAAATGAATCTTGACAAATCACCTATCATGAAAAAAATAAAGGAAGTAAAAAAAATCTACTATTATGTTTTCTATTTGGTAGAAAGCTGGCAGGAAGTAACTTTACCCATATGAACTTTATTACAGCTGGAGGAACAAGCATATTGTAACTGTCAGCAGAACTTCCCCTGAGCTCTACACTACACCTCTATATGTATCAGCAGTGCTCTGCTGCCACCTAGTGCTCAGTTCAGTATGTTAACAATGTTTCATGCCCATTTACACTTAATCAGTGACACATGTACTAATATTTATGTATCCCAATAAATCCCACACTGGTTACCTTTATAACGAGACCAAAGTAATGAAGTAGACCTTGTGGTTACAGAAATACACTCATAAAAGTGTGGGTGTGTCATCTGTGCCTCACTAACATCATTTATGATTAAAAACATGTTTGGGTGCAAATTGTATTGAATGATTAAAACATGATTATCAGTCTTATTGATTACAAAGTCTCTAATTAAGTTGATTGATTTTTCCAATTGAGATCCCCCCCCCCCCCCCCCCCCCCCCCCAGTTTTAAAAGATCTTGAGGTTTAAAAAATGATCCAGGTGAAAAACAGAGTACGTTTCAGGTTTGTCCTCTAGAGGGAGCAACACTCTCATTATCATTCTACTCTTGACTCTACTGTTGCACCAATGTGAGCTGAGTCATCTAGGTTTTTTAATTGTTTGTATTAGCTCTAATGTAACTTTGGTAAATCAACGCGATTTTCCGTGTCAAGATTATTCTGAGATGAAAGTTTGGACAGTCACGCTATAGTTGATTATTGGTGATTCTGGTAATCTCTTTGGGGTTTCCTTCTTTCCTGAATGGGATTTCCTTTAACCAACAACATACAGCAACTACAAAAAAGCAAAACGCTACCGCAAGGAAGGGATTTATTTGCAATGTGGTTTCCATTGAAACAACGGTCTTACTTTTTTGTTTTTGGCCACCATCACTGGGGTGTCGTTGTGGTAGTTCTTGAGGCTGCTGTCAGCGCCACTTTTCAGGAGCAGCCTTGCAGTGTCCACCTGACCTCGACCACAGGCGATGTGCAGCGCCGTGTTGCCGCTGTATGACTGGCTGTTGACATCACATCTATTCTGTAAGAGAGAGAAACCGAAGGTTGAGATTCATAAAGGAAGCCATATTTGGTCAGGTGAGCATCAAAAGTCAAAGAATAGGTCGAGCGGTGGTAGGAATGACTTAGACCAGAAGGAGATAAAGTAAAGAGATAACTTTCAAAGAAAAAATGATGAAAACCAGAAGAAGTCTCTTGATGTATTATGTACATCTGCAAACTCTGATAATAAAGGTGATCTATGAAAGCATTGCACATTCTTGGAAGACCCTTTGCTTGTACTAAAGACAATTTACACAGTATGATGAGCTGGAAAGAGAAAATCAGCTTGTTTGATCAAAGCTGAGTCACCTTCTCTTTCCTTTTCCTCCACTGCCTCACAAATCATTTACCTCAATGAGGAAGTGGACCAAATCTGCATTATTGCTCTCCACTGCATGCATGAGGGGACTCTGGCCACTTTTGACATCCTAATAATAAAAAAAAGGAAGTCAAAAGATGTAAAGATTGAACATTTAAGATCTGCAATACTGTGAAACGGTAAGTCTGACTGACCATGGCATTGATGTCGGCTCCTGCATCCAGCAGCATTTTAGCCAAGTCCTGGTGGCCGTGCAGCACAGCCAAATGCAGAGGGCTCAAACCTGGGGACAGCAAGCAAAACCAGACTTTACATTGTTGCCTTGTGAAGTGAATGAGGTCAACAATCCTACAGCATACACACGTTTCAACATTACAGCTCAGAAATAAAAATATATTTTTGCAAAAAATGGTGGGGAAAAGTGTTTTTCCCCCTTTACACCTGAGTTGTCTGCTGCTTTATGTAAAGATTTACCACTGCAACTTGTCAAGTGCACCAAAACACAAAGAAAAGAAATGTTCTCATCCCACCTACACAGAGTTCAACCCCCACCTGATAACGGGCTCACATATCCCCTAACCAACAACGCACTGCTGAGGCGGCTGTGGTTAGAACATCTCTGAAGGTCTTGATGTTGCAGCAAATGTGGGATCTGGGTTGTCTGCAACCCCTAAGCTTGATTATTAGGTTTTATAAAACTTAATTAGTGCAAAACAGCTGCAGAGAAAATACTGATCAACATTATAATTTCTTAATGATCATTTATTTATTAAACCATGCTATTCTACTGTATTTACCCTCAAAGTTCCTGATCTCCAGACACGAGGAGAATGAGGGAAAGGACAGCAGCACGGACAGGCACTCCCGCTGGTCGTATTCACAGCAGAGATGGATCGCCGTTTGGCCGTGACGGTCCAGGACAGAAGGGTCGGCTCTCGCTTGCAACAACACATCCACCATGTTGGATTGTTTTGTGATCACTGCCAGGTGAAGGGGAGTCTATAAGAAGAAAAAATAAAGTGTTTAGATGACCAAACAGGTGTTGTGTTACTCTGTCACACACACTGGAATAGCTCATTTTATATTGTTCTTTGTTTTTTGTCAAGGCGATTTTAACCCTCCCACTGTCCCAATGGGTGACCCCGCGAGGAAAGTTGACCATTGAGCAGGATTGATGGTTTATCCCTTGAGGTCCATGTGGCTTGGGTGAGGAGTGAGCACCACCTCACCCCTGCCACGTGGACCTCAAGGGATAAACCATCAACCCTCAATGATCAACTTTCCTCACGGGGTCACCCATTAGGACAGTGGGAGGGTTAAACAAGTATGAACCAATGTAAATAACTTTAATTTTACAGTAAATGGTTTGTAAATGTAATTATAACCTAAAGTTGGTCCGGCACACTTGGCAGTTGTGCTTGCTTTTAGCATCCCTAGTGTCCGTTATTATTGTCTGTGGTCAAAATGAAAATGAAACTTATCTCCTCGCTGTGCGATCGTCTTTTTAACGCCTTTACTTAACAGCTGAAATGTCTCCCCAACCTTCATTAGTGTCTACAGGAGTGATTCATCACTAAATTAAACATATCAGCTGTGTTCGTGATCTTAAACATGCTGGAAACGAGCTGGAACCAGACTGCAGGAAGTCCAACAGGCGGCGGCCTGCAAGTCTGAACTTGCAAATGCGGTATTCTGGCCACAGAGGGTGGTGGGGGTCTGGGTGACATTTCATTGACCGTAAAGGGTCTTTTCAGCACAAACTGGCTAAAAGAAAACAATTTAAAAATATGAAGAACTTGCATAGTGTGGCTTTAAGCTGAGAAAAAATTGTTGTCATTTCCAGAAAGACACTCCTCCATAACTTGTTCTGCATGATGAAGATCAGTGTCACATTTAAACAGTGTCTCTGGGCTCTGACGACACCTAAAGTAGGTAAACAAAGAACTTGTGTGGAAAATCTGGGTCAGTAAAGTGGAGCTGAAAAGAAAGACAGCAGCTGAGGTGCATTTTTAAGCATACAAGATCATTTTCTTCTACTTGATTTTCAGCACAGGGTCACTAAATCCATCCTCGACGTCAATAAACAAGCTCACAAATTCTCAATTTACGATGAAGCAGACATTTGGCATTTCTGATTCAGGTTGTAATCTATGTTTTGAACTTTGTAATTACTTTCTGGTGTGTGTGTGTGTGTGTGTGTGTGTGTGTGTGTGTGTGTGTGTGTGTGTGTGTGTGTGTGTGTGTGGTTGCAGCTCGCTACCCGTGTGATTTATCTCCGACCAATCAGCAGTATGTTCATTTGGAATCCCAGCCAAGGCAGTAGTAAAGTGTTGGTTCAGATCTGTGGCTCTAACTACCAACTCATACTAACTACTACTAACCCATGACTGAGCCATGCGATATCGTATACGGAAACCATAAAGCCCCCCCCCCAAAAGAGCAAAGCACGTTGAAAAAACTGCGACCTCAGGATTTGCTAATGTCAATGGGTAAAACTTGACAATCAAAAGGGGAAGGCCCGCTCATTCGTCTGTTCAGATACGATGTTGAGAAAAACACGAGTTCATGTCAGGTTTGTGACAAAAATGCTCTGCATGCTCTGAGACAGTAATGCTGCAGAAACATGAGTTAAGAACACAGTCCAGTGTCACTCAAGCCCTACCCTAACTCTAACCGTAACCATAACCCTAAACCAAACCCAGCAAACTAAAACAAATGAAGGACATAAAGCTCTAATATGGCAAAAGAAACTGTAGTTGTTAGAAGAGTTACCAAAGCGCTAAATGAAATTTCCTCAACCATCTGGGATGTGACTCTGGATGATCTCAGCATTAATTACCATGGAAACTGTGTCAAATGAGGCAAAAGAGGTCTGAATTCATCTGCTGTCTTAAGGAACGATCAGTTCTCGGGGGCTCACAAAAGGAAGTTGTCTAATCTGAGCATTTTGGCAGCTATTCGGGTCACACAAAAATTAGGCAACCGGGAAGAGATGGCGGCTCAAAGTTTCACTTTTGTTGCATTACTATCCTGTGTGTGTGTGTGTGTGTGTGTGTGTGTGTGTGTGTGTGTGTGTGTGTGTGTGTGTGTGTGTGTGTGTGTGTGTGTGTGCAATCTGTTCCAGTAAGAACTGACAAAACAAACAGTGGGAGAGCCAATGTGTGGCATTCCTTCATTGTGTCAAAGCAAGTGTTTCTCCCTTTAGCTTCCCTGAACCTCATGACTCACGCCACACAAAGACAGACTGCACACACACGCGTGTTCGATTTCATAATTTGAGCTTCTTATAATCACAACTGAAAGACAAACACCTTAAGGAGCCGTGAACGTCGTCTAACACCCATTCTGTACTATAGTTAACTTACTTGTTGTGAACCACAGATACGTAATGCACACAGACGCTGTATTCAGCAACTAGTTGTCTTCTTTAGCTCTATGCACTGAGGTCTTTGTGACAACTCTATTGACCTTGTAAATGGACAATATCAACTGTCTGTAGAGTGCTCCACTAACACAAGGTCTTGCTGTGGCAAATTACACAAACTGCATGCAAATAAAGACGAAGTTGCCAACTGTCTCCAACGGTAACTAAAGTTGACCCAGAACGTTGCTAGATGTCACCATGAGACAACATATGCTAATTTGCATATAGTGATGTCGTCATGACATGCTGTGTTGGCGTGTTGCTAAAAAAGTCACAATGTGGTCTTCATATATATATATATATATATATATATATATATATATATATATATATATATATATATATATATACATATATATATATATATATATGTATATATATATATATATATATATATATATATATATATACATATATATATATATATATATATGAAATTATTTGTGAAAGGGTAAAATCGACTAAAGGGTTATTAAAGGGGCCGTTTATGCCCAAGTGAAAAAACATTTTTTTCCATTTTATAAGTGTGTTACACGGAACCGAGTTGTTTAAACGTTTTTCAGAGGCACAATATGCCTCCACATATTTACTACGAGGAAGATGACGAGGGAGGTTGGACCACGGCCCATTATGGTCGCCGCCAGAGAAACCGCCGGAGAGGACCAGCGGAACGGGGAGAGCGCCGAAGACGGACACCCGAAGCAGCCAGCCGAGGTAGGTGGGTGGATGACCCGGAGTACCCCAGACGGCGCTCATATGCCTCTGTCACGAGGGAGGGCCGGACTGAGAACCGAGAGAATCCCTTTGGGGGACAAGGCCGTGCCCGCCGACCGGCCTCGCACTGCGGGAGAGCGCGTGGAACAGAAAGGAGAAGAGAGGAACGACCTTTCTGGTCGTCTGGAAGAACAGCCCAGAATAAAAGTTGTGCAGGGGGTATAAAAAATTCGTTTGAAATGGTGACAAAGTCACGACGTCGGCAATACTGCATAAAATAATAACAAGGCTAAATTTAATAATCTTTTAGGAAAAAGGACATCCGACAGTTAAAAACAGGAGTGGACTTTGGAAGCAGCGGATCGGACCAGCCCACTTAGATCAAATCATAATTGAATACCACACTGGAGGGATTTTAGTTGTGTCATTCAATCCACAATTGCACAATCCTTCCAAGCTGCACCTCATGGTTAAAGAGACTAATCAAGCTTTGCAACTATATAAAATGTGTTGCCAAGACGCATTGTTAAAACAAATTCCCTCACTTTTTGAGCTAAATTCACCTTGTTTTATCGTTCAAGATCTTATCCCAAAAAAAATGATTTTCTTCTTTTATACCAAGTCCCCCCCCACCCCCACCCCCACCCCACACACACACACACACACACACCGCCACCACCACCAGTTTTACTGCTCTTCAGTGTTAAAACCATGTTCAGTCATCGAGTGATTCCCAGAATGGACACATCCCTATTTACTCTGAAGCCTTTTATAGCCATTAAAAAGAGCCATTGGTGCTGGCAGACGGCCATTGCTTCCTGTAATGCACCTCAGAGTGACTAAACAAGAAAACCTCCAACAACGATAAGAGATAGGGTGGAAAGGAAGTGAAATGAAAGTTAAAGTTGAGGGACAAAGGAGCAAAGAAAGGTGGAAATGCCAGATGGAAGTCCAGGGGAAAGGCAGGAGAGTTTAGGGAAAATCCCTTCTCTTTCCCTTGAGCGAAATCTCATTTATAGACATTCCTGCAAAATGAGTTGATCAACATGAATGAGATGAAAAGAGCAGAAGGGTGGAGATTTATGGGTATGAAAAACAGCCCCAGGGCATAGGCAGTGCCAAGCACACGGAAAATGGAATGTAGCAGAAAAAAGAAAATGTCTTTTTTCTGTAACGGGTGTAAAAGCGACTGCCGCTGCACAAATAAAAATGACAGTTTTACGTCAGCGTTGTTGACAGTTATTCCGATAGCATCAGTCAGTTTTGGTTAAAGTCTCAAACAACGATACGAAAAAATACAACAGTGAGAGAGCAAGGCTGTCAGATAGAGAAGCACACGCAGGAAGGGAAAGTCCCTGTAAACTACCCTCTGAACCTCAGAGCAAGGTATGTTGAGAAACAGCACAGAGCAAAGCAGGCGGGGAGGGGTGATGGTCATGTGACTTCTCGGAACAAGGATACTAAAGCATACATAAACACACACGTGGACGTTTCGTTTCTGCACGCACATGCACATACACACACTAGTGGAACAAAAAGGTGTGCCAACGTGCACCCTTCCAGCTAAAAGCAAATACTGAAGCGCTGCATTGCCAGCTGCACCACAACAACATGTAAACAACTTGCTGTAAGAAAAAAAAATGCACTAAATCATCCAGATGTGTTTTCAGGCAGGGTGCTCAAAAGGTTTCAGTCACCAGACCTCACCTATCTCAATGCCACACACACACACACACACACACACACACACACACACACACACACACACACACACACACACACACACACACACACACAAAATCATCCAGATGTGTTTTCAGGCAGGGTGCTCAAAAGGTTTCAGTCACCAGACCTCACCTATCTCAATGCCACACACACACACACACACACACACACACACACACACACACACACACACAAACACACACACACACACACACACACACACACACACACACACACACACACACACACACACACACAAAATCATCCAGATGTGTTTTCAGGCAGGGTGCTCAAAAGGTTTCAGTCACCAGACCTCACCTATCTCAATGCCACACACACACACACACACACACACACACACACACACACACACACACACACACACACACACACACACACACACACACACACACACACACACAAAATCAGCTGTCACAACAACAACAGAAAGAGGACTGGTGCTGTGCGTGTTTTTGTAGCCACACTGATAGCATGACCGACGTGGGAGTATCAAACAGCTGCCTTCAAACCAATGTAGTGGAAGGCAAATCATGCTTTGACACACACACTATGGTTCAGCGATGGTACCGATAGTAACACTCTGTCAAAAAATCTCCACCTTCAAAGCTACAGAAACTCAGGATTTGTCATCAATATTGTGAAGGAGAGAGAGAGAGTGAGAAAATAAAAACCCTACTAGTTGATTTCTGTCTTTGGGAAGTTGGTCAATGCTGGAAAATGCCTCCAAGGTTTTTCTAGTCAACTTAATGTTTTGTAAAGTGAAAAGTTCCTGGCCTCATTTAGATAAGTGTGTTCTTTATGCCTGGTATTCAGACAAAACCACACCATCTGGTAGGCAAATGAGTGTGATGAGACTGGTGCCTGTAAATCTTCCCTTCTGGTCACAATTGCACTTGACATAAAGCGTGTGCTCATGAAGCAGCAGCAGCATCGTATGTGTGTGTGTTTGTGTGTGTGAGAGTCAGTTGCGTGCAAGCACTTTCATAGACAGGGCTGACACAGGATATCACAAAACCTATGTTGTCAAGCCTCCGCGATAAGGAAAAAAGAACAACCGGTGATAGCGGCAGCATTACTTCTGGTAAGCATGCCTGCAGCGCCTGTGTGGTGTGAAACCCCAGCCCTGTGAACTACAGCTCTGCACAGCTCAGGTGCTTTTTCTGTTGAAGGATGAAAAAGAGGCAGCTGGCAGAGTGCAGATAAAGAGGGCAGTGAGGTTAAGACAACAAAGGGGATAGAAGGTGGAAGGACTGGGTTTGAACCAGTGGCTGGGACAGCCCTGGGTAAGGAAACACATTCCTTGAGCACATTCCAGTAAAGATACTCAGCTTTATAGGTAGCTAAAGGACCACAAAGGTTTAGTCATCTCATTAAAAGTGTTATAGATGTATTTATCAGTCTATAAACATTTAAAATGTACTTTATGTTTAATTTTGCAGCATCTTCTGATTCTTTTCCCTTTTATGAGGAACATGGGATTTAAAAATGTTAATGAGAAGCATTTTTCATAAGGTTTAATTGTTTTGGCATTTTCATTTGAACTTCGCATGATGCATCCGGCGTGTAAACCCCAAAAAATTCCCTCAGCTGATTGTTGCAGGACTATTCCCTCTGTAAAACAAAAGATTGGAAATCACAGACACCGTACTTCCCATAAACCTGTTGACAAGCACAGGTTGAGAAACCAGGAAGGGTACATTCCACTTCATAAGCCTGAGCTGCCATGCCTAGAACTGTATTTGATAACGTGCAAGAAAAGGAGGAAACTAAGGCATTTCCTCTTTAAGGAGGTGGAAGAATGATTTTTTTTACATGCTGAAGCTAGGTTAGTAGTTCCAAAAATACTTTCAATCTGATTTCAATTTGTTCAGGTGATACCATTTCAGACCTTTCTTTGTATGTGAGAGATCCACATGTGCAAAAGGCCTCTAATGTCTACGGACTTGTTACTGGGTGTGCTATTGCTGGTGCATTTGCCTCACCTGACGAAGATTGTTGTGGATGTCCAGGCCTTTGTGAGCCAACAGCAACAGTCGGATGAGTTTGCAGACGATAGACATTTCCCCCTGCACCACAGCTATATGGAGAGCTCTGCAGTAGACACAAACGCAAAACATTTTACCCGAACACAAAACGTGAAATGGTGCATGTCAAGGAATATGCAGAATGTCAAAAGAGCAAAACCAGAAAAAGATGGTTTGTTGTGTATGTATACTTAACTCAAACTGCAAAACTTAAAAGCAATTTCAAGCAATTTCACTTGGAAGTGGTCATACACTCATTATTTCAATAAATCTGCAGTGGTCTCTAGTGTGAATGAATGCCTTGTGAGGAATTTTTTGTGGAAAAAAAGCTCTGGCGCTCCAGTTTCAGGAAGCTGAAGGTTGTCGGAGGAATGGGAGACGAAAAATGGCAGGATTTTGAGTCTTAACCATTAATATTCATGGCAGGAAAATGCCTTTCCACTGATTGGCTAACAGCAGTGTGACTCGTCCGCCTCCATTCACTTTTCTCTCTTGGGTTAAAAAGCAGCTAGTGCTAAAAGTTAGCTTCTGCAAGCCAAGACATGCACTGCTCTCCTAATTGCTAAATCTAATTCTTCTGCTGTCACAAGCCAGGCCAATTTCCCTGCGACAGAATAGACTGGCCTTTTTTTTTTTAGTTGACTGTTTTCCGTCCCTTTTATTTTGTCAGCTAGTGCAGGAAAAAGGGGCAGAGGACTATTTTCATGCTCAGGACACATGAGAAACTCAGAGTGATTGACCGTATTTCAACGACAACAAGTATACGGTGTGTTCATCAGGTAACCTCTGCTTTAAAATGTCCTGGAGAAATCAACTGAAACATTTTCTCGATGTACATGAAATCGGTGAAACGTTTCAATCTGGTTTTAAGGCCGGACACAGTACAGAGTAAGCCTAGCAAATTACTTTTTTTGGCTAATGATTTAGGTTATTGGTTGTGCTACTACTGCAGGATTTGACTGCAGCATTCGATACCGTCGACCAGGACATCCTGATTAAACGCTTGGAGAAATGTGTGAGCATGTGAGGATCAATTCAAAGATACTTTATTAATCCCAGAGGGAAATTAGAGTTTCAGTACACACATGACAAGAATTGGTGACTGTGGTCATTCGCAACCCTGAGTCGCGCTACCTTAATAGAGATGAGGGTTACATGAGGATTGGTTCAGGTGGAGGGAAAAAAAAGCACTTCAGAGTTACCCTCCACAGGGAGGGCAGCTTTGTTATGCAAAAAAAAAAAAAACACCTCAGACAGAAATGCAACAGACTTCAGACAACACAAGTGTCCACTAGGTGGGGTGGTGGGTTTGGGACTCTCCACACTTCAGTTCCTACAGCCACGATAAGCAGCGCATGTCACCTCAGTCTGAACAGGGGGGTTTGGAGTGTGCAGTGACTCCTGGAACGAGTCTTTGGCCTTCACAGCCCGAAGTCCCGCCCAGGCTGTGATAGGAGACAGAGTTGCCATAGCGACGGCATTCCACGTTTATTCGGGGGGGGGGGGGGGGGGGGGGATATTTGTTGGAGCCTTAAGCCTGATTTATGCTTCTCCGTCTGCGTCAGTGCGGAGACACGCAACGCCATTATCCGTCCTTGCGTAGGGCTCCGGCAGGCACGCAAGTACGTACGGAGTCGAGCCCACTTTTTTAAACATCCGTCGAACGAGACGGATTACGCAAGCTTGTGATTGGTCAGGACGCCGCTGTTGTTTACAGCGCCGCCATTGCAAAGAGAGCCGAGGATAACTAGCGGCAGACACGGAGAAGCTTGAAGAATACCTCGCGAAAAAACTCTAAAAATATGAACATTTCATCCTCTCGTGACTGGAGGAGTGAAAAGATGCGCAGCAAGCGTTTTATTTGTGGACGTAAATGACAGGAAACGTGGATTTAGAGGTGGGGAGCGCATGAAGCGGTGGGAGAATGAGACAAACATGTCCGTGTTAAAAGTCTCTTATATACACAAAAAACACAATATAAACAAACGATCTTGGACCGATACATGACAGGATACCACAGAACAGCGCTACGCCCTCTGTGGTCCTGCCGGGCAATTGCTTTGCAACACTCTCCATGAGACGCAGAAGTAAAAGAGCAAAACGCTTCCGTTAATCCGTGCATGTCTGTCTCTTGCGGAGCTGACGGAGAAGCATAAACCAGGCTTTACAGGCTCAAGGGCACCAGATTCAGATTAGAAATTGTTTTGGGGCCAGACAGAGATGATTTCCTCTCTGTCTTACAGTTCCTTGGTCCTCAACCTCTCAAAATCCCAATAATGGCATAAATTAATCTGTTCCAATCCGTGCTGATTCATCCACTCGCTCCTTGATGGTATTCATCTTTCTTGCCAGAGCCTGAATCTCGGCCAAAGTTCCAAGCCGGGATCAGGCCAATATTCCACGACAGCTCGTTAATTTTCCGGTAAGCCAGGAAGCCTCCAAGACCAATGAGCAGGAAACCTGACACCAACACCACGAATATCCACACGTCTTCAGAATCCTCTACAGACAGCTGAGATAAACAAATCAAGATCCACTGTTTCCAGGAGTCCATGATGTGTCCAACTGGGTCTGTCCCAGAGGGGCATCCGGGAGCCCCTTCTCCTGTTCTCATCGTTGAAAAAATGTTATCAGTCGCGTTGAGTGACCAACTGACCAGATCCATTTTAGTGATTTCAGTTTCCAGTTTCCAGAAAAAATGCAGAAGCAGCCATGCACCAGCACACTTGGATGGGAGATGTGGCATCCGGAGATGCTGCCCCAAATTATGGAGTGCCACAAGGGTCCATACTTGGACTACTTTTGTTTTCCATTTACCTGACATGATCTTTTGAAAGTATAAGGTCAGTTTTCACCTGTATGCAGACAATTGTCAGATGTATGCTCCATCAGGGATGGACTGGGACAAAAATTCAGCCCTGGCATTTCTCTGTGGGAACACCCTGCCCCCAGGATTGGGATTGTTGATTCCGTTCTGGAAGAGTTTGGTTACAAACCTCAAAATAAAGATGGATGATGATTTATTCTTCGAAAAGCATGTTAAAGTGACTGTAAGCTCATGTTTTAATCATATTTTTCTAAGATTAGAGCTGTGTTGTCATGGGCCCACTTAGAAATGGTCATACATGCATTCGTTACTACACGCTTCAATTATTGTAATTCTCTGCTTGTCTGTTGCACCTTTCTAATCTGATTCACCCGTACAAACCCCCGCATTCTGCTCGCTCTTCAGCTTTGCATCTTTTGGTTGTTCCACCAACAAATAAGAAATTGTGCTGCGATCAAGCATTTGGTGATTCATCCATCCATCCATCCATTTTCTTGCGCTTATCCAGAGTTGGGTCGCGGGGGCAGCAGCCTAAGTCGAGATGACCAGACTTCTCTTTTCCCAGCCACTTGGGTCAGCTCTTCGGGGGAATTCCAAGGCGTTCCCTAGCCAGGCAAGAAACATAGTCCCTTCAAAGTGTCCTGGGTCTCCCTTAAGGTGTCCTCCTGGGTGGACGTGCCCAGAAAACCTCACCAGTGAGGCATCCAGAAGGCTTCCTAATCAGATGCCCATGCCACCTCAACTAGCTCTTCTTGATGCATTTGGTGTAGTTGATCCAAAACACACTTTTATAAAATTTCCTTCACATTAACCTTTTGTTTTGTGGATTTTTCTTAGCTGTTTTATAATTGTGTTGTGAGGTATCTTGGTTTTGGTTCATTAACATTGTACTTCACTACTTGACTGCTTCTTGTTTTATTTTTTTATTTGTGCATGTTATTTGGTGCTGATCAACACCCTAATTGTTAACCAGTGCACTATAAATAAAGTCTGATGCTGATGAATTTTGGCCCCACACTCAGAAAAACCCTAGATCCGCCACTGGTCCAGCCCTGCCATAACATGTCAATGCCGTGTGTTCTGACAGCTATAAAACCCTTATCTGGGGTCTAAAACCTTTACGACACAGTAGAAGACGCCTTGTGCACAGCTCTTTGAGACATGACTTTGTAACATTTATTGTAAAGATATTCAATTGCTCAGCTGCAATGTTTAATCATGAACTACGCCCGACGTATTTCGCTGTTTTTAGCCTGTATAAAAAAAGATGGTAAGAAAAAAAAACAAGAGATTATTTAAAAAAAGATTTACATATTCAGAGAGTGTGTTTCAGAGACAAAATAACATCTACCAAGTGGAGATGAAGTAACAAACTTTTGGTTTGTGTGCTCAAATTCATCAATAAAAAAATTGTGGTGATTGGTAAGAAGACAAAACGTTTAAAATTTTCTGACAATTGTATTGATTTACAGGCAGGAGTCAGAGTTCTCTCATCGCATACTCTTATCACGACTAGAGGGAAAACCACTGTATGTGGTCTATGGTAAACGTACAAACACAAGCCAAGGTTCAAGACAGGAGAGAGCAGGAAACTGAGCAGGAGGGCTTGTGTGATTTTTTTAAACGTTTTTCGATCTCATACTATCAAAAGAAGCAGCTTCCAGTAAGAGACAGATTTGTTTTTATGTCACATCCTGTTGTCAGTGACAAAGGCAACATACTTTCTCCTCTGTGTGCTGAAAATCTAGCCGTAAAGCTGCACAGCTTCTTACAGGGGCTTTCTGCAGGTCTGCAAAGTCAGCTTTATCCAGTGGAGAAGCCTTGAGCACTAAAGCAAAGCCAGTATGCAACAGGAAGCAGTGCTTCTTGATAATAAGTTAAAAGTGCTTCCAAAAAATATATGAGGTCAAAAATAAGTTCAAATACACTTGCAGTACTTCCTGTAAGTGATGCACTTGTCTGACATGTAGTCACCAAAGATCGATTTATCTGTCTGTGATGCAAAACTAAAAATAGTCTAGACCTTTACTTTTGCAGGGAAAAAAGCAATAATATGTCCAAGTAAGTAAAATTAAATAAATGTAAGTGCATCTGCATTTTTAACAGACATCACTGAGTATAATGTTAAAGTGTCAGTGAGAATTGCAATGGCAGAGTAAGTTCATGGCGTGTCCCTGACATCAAAGTGAAAAGCAGAACTTTAGTGTTTTGAGAATGACGGTTCTTTCCTCAGAGGATCC